TTGGAATGCAGGACCTTTTTTGGGATGTTAATGTGAACCTCTTGCGGTATCACCTGAACATTTACACAAGGCAGAAATGGATAGCTCACAAGTGGACTATCAATGGGCAAGTGATCATACCATGCAATTTTATCTTAGCTTTGATCCCATTTCCACCGTGATGTCTGATGCTGAGTTTCTATTCCTGTTGCTATAGAAATTATACCATTTACATTAGTGGATGCTTCCAACGGCAGCTACATTATATTAAAACAATTGTGTTTTAAAGCTTCAGATAGCAACTCTGTCCCTGTGCTGTCTACCTTCCTCGGTTGCTGGGGAAGGTCTGTCATCACAGTGGGATGACATCCCAAGGTACTGGATAGTCAGGGATTTGGACCTGAGCAGGGGATTGGGATCAGGATGGGTGGAATGCAGGGAGAGTAGGGGTAGGAGGGTGGTCTAAAGCGCAGTGGAAGAGGGTCTTGAGACGCGCCTTGAAGGAGGCAAGGGAGGGAACGAGGCAAAGGGACTGTGGGATGGATTTCCAAAGGGTGGTGGCAGAGAGGCTGAAGGCCCGACTGCTGATGGTGGGGCGGGCTGGGCAGAGGACGAGGACGGAGCCTGCTGAGCGAAGGGAGAGGACAGGTTGATATGGCTCATAAAGGGTGTTCTGGGAAAGGAAGGAGCAAAGCTGGGAAGCAATGACTCAATCCTGCACCTTGGAAAGAACCATCCAACCACTGCACTTTATGTTTAAGGGACTGACCTGTAATGCAAAAGAAAGAAATCAAAGTGTGCATACTGTTTACTGGGTGTTTTTGTGAATGAAGATATAGCAATATTTTCTTGATAATGAAAATGTGTATCGAGATGTGAAGCTCTAATGTAAGAGAATAAAATAGTTCTATTTTAAATGAAATGGTTGCTTATGTGTAGTCAGATTATAAGTGCTAATCATCCATTGAGTACTCCGCAGATGCAGTAACACGTGTCTAACAAATCAATGGAAACTGGTGTCTCCAGACGTAAAGCACTTAAAGTGCATTTAATGTTTAAATGGATATTGGATACAGCAGAATTTGCATACAAATCTGGCGTCAGTGTTCCTGCTGCCTCGTGAAACCATCATGCTTACAGAAGGGGTTCATCTTCCCACTAATGCCCCGAAACCTCTTCTGGTTGCCTCTAGTGGCTCTCCCCCACGTTCACCGCTTTTCTTCCTGTTTATCTTCTAGACTAATTGCGCCCTAATTGCTTCATCACTCCCTCAGCCGTCTCATCTTCCTATGCAGCGTTCTCTCCCCTCTGCCCTTCCCACCCACTCCTACCTTTTGTGCTGTCTTTATTTTAGTCATTGAGGATTCAAGAATGGGTACTGAATCACTGTTTGTGGACCAGGATAGGATTTTGGAGTCGTTTCAGACCAGCATCTGAGATTTCTTTATAATCGGGCTCCACTGCACTAGTTAAGAAACACTGCCACTTGGGAAAAGTATTGAGAGAACATTTTACATGCACAGTTTATATAATCTTTTTATGATGTGTTTTCTCGTGCAATATTTGATTTTATTCACTTAAACAGCAGCAATTTCTCCTCGGTAAAAGAGCCAACAACACAGACCATTTGAATTTTATTATGATTTTTTTTAAAAAAAAGTGCTGTCTAAAAGTTGTCTGTTAAAGAGAATCACTTGCTTGTTTATTTGTAACATGGCCAAAACACAACATTTGGGACTTTTTAAAAAAAAAAGTTATACGTTTTTATTTACTCTAATCATCAGTGAAACATTTAAAATAACAAACTTAAATAGATTTAATACTACTTTTTTTTTCAATTGAAATTGATGCCATCCTCGTTGTTACAGTAAAAAAATAGTTTATAAAATCTGATCTATAATTGTCTTAATCTGAAAAATAATGATCATAGAATCATAGAAATTTACAGCGCCGGCCTGTATCAGGTTTACCAGAGTAGGGTAATAAAATATTATAGATAGTCTAGAAGTGATAATCTCTTAAACACTTTTAGCTGCACTTCTGCCGATGTACAATCAACACTACTCATCTTTAATTCTGTTTTTTTTTGTAGTTCATTTATTTCATAACAAGGGTAAGTGCAGTTTAAAAAATCTTGCACTTAATTGAGCAATACATCTCTTTTGCAACAGTGTAACGTGACCAATGAGTGAGTCAAGCATGAAATAATTATAAAGCCGAGAAGGGAAAGACCCTTTAAACGCCAGAAGCCAGTGATTGCAATTATTCTGTAAAGCGGGATTTTACATTTCCTCTGTTTGTTTAAAAATTAATAAACATCTTACGTTTCACACCTGTACTTAAGATTTCATAGTGTCTGATATGAGTTGCATGATCTATATTCATTTCTATAAGCGAATGTGGCCCATTTAACAACACCCATTTGTGCATAGATTGAAACAAACGGTTGTCAGTAACGAGATCAATATAAATTCTACCAGCAGGATCACATGCAATGATGACCCATATAAAAATTGTCGAAAGATATTAATTATGTGAATGAATGTGCTCAGCGGCATTCCGAACTGCTGTAAATCTTTAACCTTTTTTTGTATCTCTCAGCTTGGAGAATTCTACATCCTGTGCTCCAAGAATACATCTCACAATATTGTACCAAAGCGAAATAACCTTCTCCATGACATGTCTGTGTCCTGAAACCGATTTGTCTCATTGATAGCCATCACGTACCACTGTGGTGGTGTCATCCTCACTCAAGATGAATGTAAGATTTTTTGAGAATAGTAAAGGTTTACCTCAGTATCGCTGGTGTATTTCCAATACTGTCAATGAATTGTCCTTCGACTGATATAACTTACTTTGACAGAATAGAAATACCGATACTTACAAAAAAGGCCACATCACTACATTTCAGAAGCAACATATTGGACTGCATGAGTTAACTTCAATTTCGCTACCTCTGTTGCATTCGGCAATGACCGATCACATGCATAAGATATTTTAAACTCTTTCTGTTGGTTTCGTGTGATAGAACCTCATTAACACCAGAGTGACTAGCAGGAGGTATAACTCAAAACACCCATAAGAATAGGAAACCGACTTGCTTGGCCTATACAGTTTTATTGCCAACTCATTGACTTTGAAGTTCTGACCGGTCTGTCACAGCCGAGGTACTGAGCGAATCTGCCAATTCCGGTTATGGGCACATTGAGGAAAGTGTTCGGCTCCCGCCTGTTGCGAACTCTTCAATATCTCGAGGGTGTGACTTTTCGTTCTAATCCAAATGTCATTTCACTGAATTTCCCACTGTCATTCGAGTTTTAACGCATTCGACTTGCAAAGATTTTCTATCTATCTCATCGTCCGAAAATGGGCAAAACGGCAGTTTTCATTGATCCCCGAGTTGATACAAAAGGAGGCCCATTATTGTGAATTTTAATGCCATATTTTGAAACAAAAAATAAAAAAGTGGAGTGATTGGAATGGTCATGACTGAAACTCAGATAGAAGGCAATTGACTTTGTCACACGATGCCTTTTTGGCCTCTAAAAGGCACAAGGGAAATTAATACAGTTTTGCAATGTTGTCCTTGCCTGGGGAAATAATAAGGCTTGAGCAGGTATAAACGTGCACTGTGAAGATTGTTCTGATTCAAAATTTACTGCATTTATTTTGTGACTGTTAGGCTTTTGAGTTAAAACCTAACAGCTGTTTTAAGGCCTCAGTTAATATATGTTTCAGCTTCCGGTCTTATGCCAATCATTTTACTCCTGTTTGCAATCTGTTGTTTTGCATGTGTTAATCCTTGTCTCAGTCGAGACATTCACAGCCTCACTGGTTAGCAACATGATTTCACTTGAATATGCAATCAGTATGGATTTTAATGTTACATTTACATTGCGATATTGATAAAATGCCAAATAATAAGTAGGTGATCATTCCTCACACAGAAACTAATTCATTCTGAAGTCCGGGTGTGTTAGTCGGTGGTGGTTGTAATAACAATAATAATAATAACAAACAGAATCGTTTCATAGTCATTTGGGGAGGGGCGGAAACAATGGTCTTGATTTAATTGAGTTACAGTCTGCCTTGGAAAGAATGTTCCACAGAATTAAGAGGGAGCTCGTGACAACCATTACCCTTGAATCAGTCTGGACTGCGACTCAAAGAGAACAAGGATATCAATAGTTGGCTATGTGGCCGAGTCTCATTGACTATGCCAGAACTTTCAGTCAGACTTGTGACCCGTAATTGAGCTAACAGGAGCCAGTCCATCAGTGTCTTTAAACAACCAGAAGATCTTGCAGAAGCTTTTCATGTATATTTAGCGCTCTCATCAAAACGGAATGACGTATATTTCCATTTAGGGTACAATTTGGACATATACGTTTCAACACAGTTACAATGCAGGCAATAATCCGACAGTAGTAGTAATAGTGCAAACATCGGGTAGAGTCCCATTATAATTAACATCTACACAGTGTGACTGTCATTTTATCCACAGGTCATTAAACACGAGTCATTGTTATTAAATACATTATTAAAGGGGTATGTGGGGTGGGGTGGGGTGGAAGGAAGGCCGATCGGGCATGTGATAATGAAATGGGATGAAATGTGTTAACTGAAATAAATCCGCGAGACTGACTGGACTTGTATCCGTTTGCACCAGCACGCAGCACGAATGGGAGGCCGAAAGCAATAACAATTCCTTGCGATGCAAAAGGAAAGCCACGATAAGAAAAGATATCGCAGGAGGCCCCACACACACACAAATACAGCCCAACCCACCCATCCCCACCCACTCGCTCCACTTTCAAATCCTGCCTAAAGACCTTTCCTTTTTGATTGTGCTTCCGGTCACCTCCTCCCCACCCACCCACCCACCCTCCTTCTCCCCCTGGCTGGCGGTGGGGGGGGTTGGGGACAGACTCCGCCACTGTCAAGTGCACTCCGGGACACTACCCCGGGTTGAAGGACGCTATATATAAAAGCAAGTCGTCGTTGTCATTGTTGTTGTGTTGTTGTTGATGATGTCGTCTCCCTGACTGCCCCCACCCCCTCCCCAATCCAGTACCAAGTCCAACAAATACTCTCGCCACCTCCCCAGCCCCCACCCTCACCCATCTCTGTGTGTGTGTGTGTGTTTGTGGGTGTGTGTGTGTGCGTACCCCTAAGTGTTTCTCCTGCCTGGAGAGGGGGCAGATGCCCGGTTATTTACTTGCCCGCTGCTCTCGGGGCGGTACTTGAGCCAGCAGATGACCCAGGTGACGACCACCGAGAACAGGGCCAGGATGCTGGCCACCGACAGGCAGATGGGGCCCACGGGCGACGCCGAGTTGCTGTAGTGGTTGACGAAGATCAGGCCGGTGAAGAGCAGGACCACCATGGAGAGGAACGAGAACACAACGCACACGCAGCCGGCGGTCAGGGCGGCCCGCTTGCAGTTCTGACAGCTCTCGTAAGGGGCCGGGGGTCCCGGGGACTGAGCCTGGGGGGGGACTCCAGCCGGGGAGGGGATGGGTATCTCGGGGGGTGGGGGGGGCTGCGCGGAGGCGCTGGGTACCCTCTGCGGCTGGTGATGGCGATGCTGTCGGGTGGGATGTTGTTGTTGCTGCTGCTGCTGTTGTTGTTGTTGCTGTTGTTGCTGTTGGTTGTGGCGATGCAGATGAGGGGTGGGGGGGAGGCTGTCCTGGGGCAAAGGGTCGGAGGTTGGCAGGTAGAGGGGGAAAGCCTCGGTGACCTTGGTGTTGTTGGGCAGGTTGTGGACACTGTGGTCGGGGACGGTGGTCCGGTGCCGGCAGACGGGGCAGCCGATCCTCCAGGGCCGGTCCTCCCGGAGGTGGAGGGTGGTCAGGCACTGCTCGCAGAACGTGTGGAGACACTCCAACATCTTGGGCGCCCGGCGCTCCAGGTCGAAGTAGTTGTAGCAGATCTTGCACTCGTATTCCTCGTAGGGCGCCTCGTCCGTTGCCTGTGCGTCAGCCTCTGCCATGACATCTTTCTTCTCCGTGAGACACACACACACACAGAGAGACAGAGAGAGACACACACACACAGAGACACACACACACACACACAGAGACACACACACACACACACAGACACACACACACACACAGACACACAGAGACACACACACACACAAAGACACACACACAGAGACACACACACACAGACAGAGACGCACAGAGACAGAGAGAGAGACACACACACAGACAGAGACACACAGAGACAGAGAGAGAGACACACACACACACACACAGACAGAGACACACAGAGACAGAGAGACAGAGAGAGACACACACACACACACACAGACCGAGACACACACACACACAGACAGAGACACACACACAGAAAGACACACACACACACAGAAAGACACACACACACAGAGACACACACACAGACAGAGAGACACACACACAGAGACACACACACACACAGACAGAGAGAGAGAGAGACAGAGAGAGAGAGGAAAAGGAAGAGAAAAAGAAAATCTGACGTTGTCTCAATCCCAAAGCTCCCAATAAATCACATCTCTCTCTCTTTCTCTCTGTCTCTTTCTCTTCCACCACCACCACCTCCCCCCCCACCCCCCGCCTCTCTTCTTTTCTGCCCCTCTCTTTCTCCTCCTTCCCCTCTTTCTTTGCCCCCCACCCTCTCTCTTTTATTTTCTCCCCCTCTCTCTTTCTCTAACCACCACCAACCCCAACCCCACCACCACCACCTCCCTCCCTCCCTCCCTCTCTCCCCTCCCTTCTCCCCTCTGCCTTTCTCTCTTTCTCTCCCACCCCTCTCTCTCTCTCCTCTCTCTCTCTTTTTCTCCCCTCTATACCTCCCCTTCTGTCAATACCGTCTGATAAGAAACCTTTCCTCGCCAGCCCTGGAATTAGAACTGTTCTTTTATTAATAGTAAAGCAACCACTTCGATCCACTCCCAAAAGGCGTTGAATGCTGATGATGTAATCTACTGACTCCCAATGCCAGATTTCTGAATCCTTCAGACCAAGAACTGGTCGCAGAAGGGAGGGGAGGGGTGGGGGGTGGGGAAGGGGGGGAGTGGGGATGGAGGATGGAGGATGGAGGGGGGAGAGAGAGAGATAGAGAGAAAATCCTATAACCTTTCTTTGTTATTTGTGGTTTCGTAGCTGTTCAAGGACACAGATGACAGACTTGCCTCCTGCTGGATCCCTGGTGGGAATGAAATAGAGAGAGAGAAAAAACACAACACACAGGGTCTGACCAGACAAATGGCAAAAGAGAAATCCAATTCGACCCAAGTTTTAATCGAGGAAACACTATTAAATACAGTGTGACATTCTACATTGCACAACGGTTTGGTAGATTCGCGGAGTAAACGTTACTTACTCGAGTCATTTCACGTTTGACTGTCTTGTCTTCCAGACCAACTATCGCACCAATAAGACGTGTATTTTCGATAAGACTGTGTCACGTTATGAATCTGCGCTTTGGGAACATTAGTGGAATGGGAAGCGGTGGTGTTCAGGTTGTCACAGCTTTCCCTATAAAAACATACTGTACCAATTGCGATTACCAGCGTTACATTGACATGTTTATGTACTCCACTCCTCTAAAGAAAGGAATTATGATTTCCTACTAGTAATTTCACACATTGGGGTATTCCTTGAACTCATTAGGGTTTTATCAGCTAAACTGAGTTGAGTGAATGAAGATGCACCACAGATGTCGCCAAAATACGTTTCCCATCACACCAGACAGGAGGCGCAGACACCTACTTTCCTGTTAAGAGAGAAAAAAAAAGCTTCATACCACCCACCACCTGTTCTGAGATATTACAGATTTCTTCGGCATTTTCTGGCACAATCTGTCGGTCTTTGATACGCTATTTGGACATTCTGGGTTTGTAGTTATCAGGAAACTCTGATAAAGAACAGACAGCAGCAAACAACATACATAAATAAGTATACAGTCCAGAGCCATCCCGAAATTGATCTCTACTAACAAATACTTGGGAGTCCCTTATGTAATTATTAGTCTTTGTCCTACAAAAAAGACATTTCTTCTGTGGAATTGATTATCGTAATATAATAATAATAATAATAATAATCCTTGCATTTGATATAGCGCTTTTCACGTCGGGAGGACGTCCCAAAGCGCTTCACAGAACACACTGTAAAGTGAATTGACTGTATATTTGTGGGCGAACGCGGCAGCCAATTGCGCACAGCAATGTCCCACAAACAGTCGTAGATTGAAAATGACCAATTAATTATTGTTTTTGGTTTTTGAAGGGATTATTATTAGGCTCTGTGTGGAGTAAGGAAACTTGCCCAAGGTTTCGCCCTCTGCCTGGAATTGAACTCAGGTCTCTCACTTGCAAAGCGAGTGCTCTAACCACTGAGCTACAGGACTCCACAGGACTCGTATATTCGACTATTCATCATACAGCTTATTTTAGTGCAAAAAAATGCAATTTGCCATTTTTTAAAACCGATCAGGATAATTTCTTTTGTATGAATGTACTGCATATTAAAATATTAATGCAGCGAGCTACTCATTTGTAAGAAAAATGCCTCTACAAGTAATGTGATCTTGATCTTAAAATAGTTCGAGGAAGAACAAGTACGATTTGCACCTCTTTTTAATAACTTGTATATACAGAGGGGAACACAGAGGGAAACATCTCAAAGCACTTCAGGAGATCATTAAGTAAGGGGGTAGGAGTAAGGTGACCGAAAGTATATTCCGATATAATGTTTTTCAAAACGGGGTGTGAAGCAGAGAGATTTGAGGGAAGTTGAGAGCGTAAGGGCATTGTGGTAGAAAGATTGGCTTTCAATCTTAGGATGGAGGGGAGAGGGAGGGATGGAGGCCTAAAATTAATGGAGGGGATGGAGAGAGATGAAAATCTTGAAGTTGATCGGCTGGTGGAGAGTGAGCAAATTAAGCCAGTCAAGGATGGGGGTGATGGCTACGGAGTTCAGTGTAGGAGAGGATAGGCTCTATGAAGTTCTGGATGAGATGAAACCAATGGAGAATGAAGTTAAGGAGGTTGGCGAGGAAAGCCTTTCAGATTTGGCCCAGAAGTGACGAAGATGTGAGTGAGAATTTGTGCTGGAATCAGGGTGAGATAGGAAAAGATATGAGTGATAGTCCACAGATGGAGGAAAACAGCTTTCGCAAAGATTGGATATAGAGTTTGAAAGAAAGCTCTGTGTTTTTTGTTGTTTTCTACCAGGATAAATCTTCATTTATGGTTTAGTGTCTGTCGTTCATAAGTTATTAGAAGTTATGATTGTGAGGACAAGAAACTATGTTTTCATTTGTACATGGCTGAATATGTTAATCATCCTTGCATTTGATATAGGACCTTATACAGGATTTCTACTGCAAAGTGTGTTGATGTGAAATGTAGTGATAGTGTATTTTCTGGGCAAATCTGCAGCCAATTTGCACAAAGCTGTGTCCCACAAACACCCATGAAGTGAATGACCAATTTTATCTGGAGCATAGTTGGCTATGAAATTGGAACTTGGTCTTTTTGAACAGTGACTTGGGATCTTTAACATCCACCTAAACATACAGTTGGCATCTCAGTTTAACATCTCATCCAAAGAATGGCAACTCCAACATCCAATTTGGTCCCTTGTGTCATTGGCCGCCAAATATATATATATATCAATCTGCCTTCATTTTTAGGTCAGGCTCTGTCATTCATAAGTATAAACTTGCGATCAGAGGCTGTGGTCATCCGACTTTTACAACGACCGCAAAATGTTTTTTTCTAACAAATCAAAAGTTGCAAATATAATTTTTGAAAACTTTTTAAAAACTTACTGCAACATGTTTGAAGCTGTGGGACCCATTTAATAAAAAAAAAATGCTGATTGCACTGTCATTCCCGGTCACAACGGACAGCATCCGATGCACAGTACCTCTTATGGGGTCAATTATCAGTGCAAAGCATTTCACTCGCAGTGTTGTTCTGCCGCACGATTCGGGTTGTGTCGATAAACCAGTGCAGGTTTGACAAAATAAAGACAAGGATAGCACTGCGTAACGTTTACGCAAACGGCTTCACAAATAACCCACCGCGAGCAACAAGGAAAGCCGGAAAGAATCCACAGAAATGAAACAAATCATATATTTTAAAATTATTATTTTTTTGGGTGAGAGGGAGAGGGAGGAGGAGTGGAGGAACAAATCCAATGCATTGTAAGCAGATTCGGGAAGTTTTGAATTCCTGCCAAAATGGGTGGACTTTAGGATCGAGGATCTTTTTGCTGTTCCTTCCCCCTTTGTGTGTGTGTGTGTGTGTGTGTGAAACCTGTTGATCCGGATTGCACAGCATTGGAAAGCGCTTCACCTTTGGTTTCGAAACGTAAGTCCCGTTTGATTTGGGTGGGGGGGGGATTGCGCTGTGAAAGATGATGGAGAGGTACGTCCAAAGGCTCCAGGACCCCCGTCTGGTCTCCCGCTTCCAGAGAGGCTGCGGGTTGTGCCCGCGGGACCCCCGGGCGGGGGCTCAGGGGGAGGGGAGGCGGAGGGATCAGGAAACCCCCCACAGCCCGAGGCGCTGCGGGAGTGGAAATGGGAGACACTGGTCCAACGGGTCCCTCCAGTGCAACGAGAGGCAGGAGGAGGGTGAGCCTGTGGGGAAGGTGAGCACCACTGCGGCATCTCACCATCCAGAGTTTGTCTTTTTTTCCCCCCTTCTCCTCCACACTGTGTATTATATATATATACACACACACACACACACACACAAGACAGAGGGCAGGACATTAACCTATAGGTTTCAATAAATAAATGATTCCTCCCTTCCCCTTCCCCTTCCTTGTTTTAACCGACTTACAATTGCTGACGTGTTGTTCTGGGAGGAACTCAGTGAATTAACCCAAGAAAAGTGGACTGTCCACTTTTCTCTGCGACCAAATACACACGTTAACTGACTATTCTCACTCGTGGTAAAGGCTGTGCCACTGCGGGAGAGGTGACTGGTCCCATTGGAAATGAGTTTAACGCAATGATAAAAAATAGTTGAAAGAAAGTAACGTACAGTGCCAAACCTTGGATCAAGGCAGGTCAGGTCACAGAACTACAAAATAAAGTGAATTTATTTAGTTAGTTTAGCTCTACACCTGCTGTGACCAAACTCCACACCATGGAGTTGCAAGCGAGAGACCTGAGTTCAATTCCAGGCAGAGGGCGAAACCTTGGGCAAGTTTCCTTACTCCACACAGAACCTAATAATAATCCCTCCAAAAAAAAACAATAATAAATTGGTCATTTTCAATCTACAACTGTTTGTGGGACATTGCTGTGCGCCATTGGCTGCCGCGTTCGCCCACAAATACACAGTCAATTCACTTTACAGTGTGTTCTGCGAAGCGCTTTGGGACGTCCTTCCGATTGTTATTATTATAATGTATAATGATAAGCATTTGGTGATTTACATACTCCCTACTGTAAGTCACATGCAAACTTGCCCGAAGGAATGTGGTGTAGAATTTCAGTGGCTTGTTTGAAGTGCGAGAACAACTGTGTGATTGCTGTGCTTCAGCCTGAACTTTGCTTGGATCCGTATCTACCTGCTTTAGGTGTTCATTTTTTAAAAAAAACGCAGCTGTCGTTGACCCCACTGAAACGAACGGTTAGACAACATTGATAAAGAAAATGCACATATATTTCCTGGAGTATTACAGGACATTTTGTAAATGCATTCCTAAACGTGCTCATTCACGACAACTTAGGTACTTAAATGTACACTTCAGGTGCTTAAAGCTAAAAATTAGTGGTGAAACTGGGCAAGTTGTTCATTCGTCTTATTACTCACGTATTATTTGCTTTTCGTACAGGAATAGTGAATCATCATCTGAGGAAAGGTTAATGTTTATTTGCCTCTAGATGTAGGAAACAGCGCCTTGTGGAGGATGTATTCAAAAGAACAGAAGGCCACCTTCAGTGTAAAATAAGGAGGAAAGGAAGCATTGATTAAAAAGAAAGAGAAGAAACAAAGATGTTAGGAGGAGAAAAAGGTCATTCAGCCCACTGAGGCTGCTCCTCCAGTACATTGACTTTCTGGTCCTGATCATCTCATGATACAGTATCGTGAATAACTGCAATGTTTTTGCGTCTATTACTTTGCTTGGTAGATTATTCAAGACATGCATCACGCTTTGAGAAACAATGCTTCACTGGCCAACAATTCTCATGATTCATAGGTTATTCGCTTTGCGCCTATTTGTGGAAACTTTTGAAAAGGAAATGAAGATGGGAAGTTCACAGAGTTTTGTACTTTTCTTTGCAGGAAAAGCCAAAATATATGGTGAAGAATTATTTTTTCTACTACCTGTTCCGATTCGCTGCTGCTCTGGGCCAAGAGATCTTTTACATCACTTTCCTTCCTTTCACCTACTGGAATTTTGACCCATTTGTAACTAGGAGACTGATCAGCATATGGGCAGTAAGTACTGCAATTTTTGTCATTATATCAATTTATGAATCAATGGCAATTTATGGAAATGTAGAAATTCAAGCATTAAGCTTTAGTGGTGCCTTAATTCTATTGGAATGTTTCCCCCACTGACTTGGCCAACAAAGTGCCAGATAAAATTGGGCATTCACTTCATGGCTGTTTGTAGGACATGTGTGCAAATTGACTACCACTTTTGCCTATAAAGTACACAATCGTTGCATGTTACAGTACATTCTTTGGAGTGTTTTGAAACATCTTCTTGACAGGAAAGGTACTATATATCGATGCATGGAAAGATATCATTATTATTTTACTTGTTGGTTCTGATTGGGAGGACGACAGTCGAGATGTGTGGCAATGAACTGGATACATGTTAGGATTTATTTTTCTCCCGCTTCTACCCTTCAATAAGTGCTGTTCCCTAACTGAGAAAGATGATTGACAAACCACTGCAGACCCCCTGACTGCAGTTAGAGTGAGAACCTTACCCTAGCATAATTTGTCAGATATTTCCTTACTTCTGTGTTGTAGGAACATATCCAATCTTCTTTCATTATTCACCTCCCTCCGACTGTGCAGACAAGATCAGGAACTCGATGTGTGCAGGATCACAATGTAAACTTGGATCCTATTTTGCAGTGGTGCTTTTAATATACCGCCTTAGGTTTAATAAATATTTAACTTCTAATGCACAAGAAATTTGGACAGATGTGCCAACACCAGTGCTTAAACTCTCGAGGTAAAATGATACTTCAGCAGAGACTCACTATGCCTGCAGTAATGCAACTGAATTTAAGAGGCCTACTAGCTGCTAGGGTTGTCTCTTCATTCTACGGAAAGGGATAATGTTACTCTTGGAACGAAACAATACATTTTCTTCCTTCACATCAAAGCATTAAAATTGGAATAATGAAAAGTGTTTGCGAGTGGGCTGATATTGCAAACAGCTTGATTTTCAGATCTACCAGCCTACCTCAAATCCACTGTGTGCACACATCCATCTGCCGTTGCTAAATTATTTCAAAATGTGGGAACATTCAAAATTCAAACAGGGCACTTGATTTCATGTCTCACAAGCAGGTTATATCATGGATGAGGTTTGCGTGTGATAACTTCATTGGTACATTGCTGTCTTTCATATAACACCATAACAGTACATCATAGTGCATCGCTTCACCAATTGTACAACAAACCATATGCTACTGATAATAATCCTTGCATTTGATATAACACCTTATCACATCTTCAGCGTATCTCAAAGTGCTTCACAGAATCTGAGTGAATTAATTGTATATTTTGTGGGTGAAATGCGGCAGCCAATTGCATACAGGAGCATCTGACAAACAATCACGGATTTAGTGACCAAATTATTGTTATTATGTTTTCCAAAGGGATTATTAGCCCCGGAAAAGTGATCCGCCAATCGACTAACAACCAGGTTCCTACTTAGTGCTAGGCAAACAGAAGCATGCGGAGTAAAGAAATTTGCCTGATGTTTCACCCTACCCGGGAATCGAACCCGGGTCCTCTCGCTTGCGACACGAGTGCTCTAACCAATACGCCTCAGGACTCCATAAGAAACAGTATATTCAGCAGAATCTAGATACAAAAACAATATTAGATCAACACACAAAATTCCATTGTCTCTTTTGTATCCTATTATAAGGAACTACTGAAAGAAGGATCAATGATCCAGGAAAATGCACCATCAAAATTAACCATAATAAGCCCCTTTGGTATTCCATTGAAATAAAATCTCCTTAGAAATGCTTCACCATATAGGATATTTGCTTACAACAAATTGTCTACAATATTGCCTGTTTCAATTAATAATTAAAGCGTTATCTGTCATACCAGTGATATTTATATCCATTAAACTTCCTTAGGTTTTAGTTACATATTTTATTATGTTTGGTGGTGCATCCCAAGATTCAAATAAACCCATCCAACACACTGTTCCTCCTTGTATCATCACCCTGCTAATGTTAAAACCTGTCACACTACATCCTGTCTTTACCTAAACCTCAAAACAATGGATCTTTCTATCTCCCTCAGTCTTCCTTTCCACTTGCAATTTTTTTTTAAAAAAATCAAAAAATTAATTAATTTCATCCTTGGCATTGATATGTACTATGGAACTTGGCTTTCACCTGGGTTGCTTAATTTCATAGAAGAATCTGTTTAAAACAAAATACCTGCTAACTTTCCCAGCACAGCAAGAGTTCTTAATGAAATGAGTCTGAAGCAGTTTCAATTGAGTTCAAAGGAGCAAAGTAGGCATCACCTTTGCTTTTGAAAACTGAATCTCTCTGCATAAAATTCACTGATATATAAACCCCTTTATGTGGAGGTAATTATGGACAGTAACGTTTATTTTTGGGGAAAAAAAACTGTTTTGTGGAACTCAGTGTACACAGTGCCACGTGACAGTTGGGTGTTCAAGCAGAGTGACAGGAATCAGGTTCAAATCCCAAACATAGGAAAATGTGAAATTGAATATTTGAGTGAACGCTAAACTTGCAAACACTGTACAGTGAGAAGTATCTGATTTCATGCAGGCACTTCTCCACCCATTCAAGAGGATGGTTTGCATCCACCACATAGCAAAAGCCTTTGTGACAGCACAAAACCACACACACACAGCTGATCTTTTATTAATATAGATGAATAGAGAACTGAATCAATGAGCACAGTCTGCCAATTTATAAAAGTCTGCAAAGGGAGCTACTTTTTGATACTTTTGCTTTAATGAAAATAGCAGTGTTTGTGCCAAGGCCTGCTCAGTGAGTCACACGATATTTGGTTAGAAGGCAGAAGTCAATACCGTCTTGGCTGCCTCCATTCTGGTGCAGTCAAGTGGCTTTGCGAGCTGCTGCAGGTACCTATAGTGTAGCTACAGTCTCAAAGTCACAGTAGCTTAGTGGACTTGACCTTTTCAGTATGATTTTTTCTGCAGCCATACAACTTTACCTTCAAACGCAACAGAATTAATGCTTTTTTTGCAGCTTATTCAAAGGTTACGCTTTGACCGACATTCTGCAATGTCATTTGCCTGGACCTTCTTTTTGTTATTTTATCAATTTTCTAGTATTTCTCAACAGATTCACATCTCAGTACTCACACACATTGCTGCTCAGGATGAGCAGGAAGCAGTTGCATGTGGAAATCATCAAAACCCTACAGTAGTGTGTAAGTGGTGGCATTATATTAACAAAGCTGACAATATCACCTATGCACACTCAAATTCAAGTGATACCATAACACAAAACATAGGTTTGATACTGAGTAATGTAAACCATGTTTGGTGCACTCAACCCTGTCATAATATATTATTCGAATAACTTAATTTCCTTCATGTAACAGTAGCAGCATGTTCTCACACACACGCACACACACACACACACACACACACACAGTATATCTGAAGTTACACAGCCTCACAGATAATAGAGAAAAATATTTTCTGGTACGAGACAGAGAACACCACCAGATAAAATATTTTCTCTCTAATACTACCTGAAGATATTCAAACTTTTTCAGAGTATGAGCAGAGAACAGCAGCCTGTGTACACAACCAGCACTTTCCTAAAGTTGACAGAAGCTTAAATATCTTCATAACAGATGTCACCAGGAAGGTGTGGTTTTTCTTTTTAAAGAAAAAGAAAACAGGTCAGGTTCCTTCATTCTATGCTCAAATGTTGGACAAAATAACTGGTTCAACTGTAGGGCACTGCAGATTTAACAGTCAACAAAAGCATTGTGTACGAGAGGTGAAACACAAAAACGCGCTGCTGAACAACAATGCAATAAATCTGGTGGCACAGTGTGATTGAAGTGTTCATTCCCTTGGGTGAAATCAAATCTACTGATAAGTAGAAGAGAAGGAATGCAGTGCAAATGATAAAATAGATCAACGATACAAATTTGGCATCATCCCTTGTTCTATATGATGCAAACGGCTAGCAACCTGTGCCAACTAAATAATTTTGTATTTTAACAGATTTTTAAACTTTTTTGATTTAATTTGATGCCTAAGTTTTCGGTTAAATGAGCTCAACTAACTGGCAAAAGACATCAGTGAGAGTTTTTGCATATAGAGTATGTCGTTGGTAAGATGGTTATGTATTTAAACATGGAACGTGGCAAATCTTTTAAGAAACAAAATTAAAGCAGTCACTGTGCAAATATTAGTATAGTTTTGTGAACAAAAATGCCCAAATCAAGCAATGTCAGCAGGAAGAGCACATGTTACACGCTGCTTAGCAGAAAGTAGGAACCTGCTTGCTAGTCAATTGGCGGATCGCTTTCCGGGGGTAATAATCCCTCAATCTCACTCAATCCACGACTGAAATGCGCAATTGGCTGTTACATTCCGTCCACAAAACACAGTCACTACACTTTACAGTATATCCTGTGAAGCGCTTTGAGATGTCTCGACGACGCGATAAGGCGCTATATCAAATGCAAGGAATATATATAATATATATTACATGAAAAAAGTAATTAACTAGCACAATGTACTTTCATGAGTCACTGAAGCGTACATCTTTGTTCTACAGATTGTTATGTACATTGGACAGGCTTCCAAAGACATCCTTAAATGGCCCCGTCCATCCTCGCCACCAGTGGTGAAATTGGAAACAAGAGTTGATGCTGAATATGGCATGCCATCCACCCATGCCATGGCAGCTACCGCCATCTCTTTCACATTCCTAATCTCTACAATGTACAGGTACAAGGTAAGAATAAACACTTTACAGCAACACACAAGAATCTTTAGAAGACATAAGCAAATGCACGCAACCAAAATAAAAGTGCAGATACTTTGAAAACATGGGACATTGACGAACTGGATGGTTGTAGGAGTCTATTATCAGTGGTCAAGTTGAGAACAATTACCCAGAACCGGGTAATTCAGAACACTATTGACAATTATTGTCATTTAGACATGAGGATCCCTTCAAGTGAAATCGACAACCGTATCAATTTATAAATGGTTGAACTAGTTCTTAAACAGGCACATCGTCACTCTCTGTACCAATGTTGATCATCTCTCATATTGAATCATGTTTATTTGTTTTTACATGTAATGGTTTTGCGCCTGCTTTACAATCCAGTAACATTTTTCTTTTAATATTTTGGTCACTGTGCAATGTATTACATGACAGTCACCTCTGATCAATTAGTTACTGTGTGTGAAATTTGCCTATTGTGAATGGTCTATTTCACTCTTGTTTTATTGTCCTGATTTACAGTATCCATTTGTGTTAGGACTGGTGACTGCTGCAATTATGTCTACTCTGGTTTCTCTTAGTCGAATCTACACAGGAATGCACACTGTACTGGTAAGAATTAATCTCTTAATTAAAATCTACCATTTTTTCTCTTTCTGGAACTGGTTTACTGCACGCTACACTATTAAAAGTTGAGAAATCTTGACGATTACATTGATCAGAAATGTCTCGTTGCAAGTAAATTTAACATGTTTACCTTACCAATGCCCTTTCATTTCATTTACATCTATTTTCAGGATGTCATCTGTGGAGTCCTCATTACTGGTGTGATCATCACTCTTACGTACCCTTTCTGGAATATTCTAGACAACCTACAGTTAACCAGTTCTCTAACGCCGATCATTGCAGTGGTGCTGACGTTTACCTTGAGTTATACCTATCCAGCATTAGACCATTACAGCCCAACCAGGGGGGATACAACCATTATCCTTGGTGGGGCAGCAGGAAGTACAGTTGGCTGTTGGCTGAACTATCAATACGGTAAAACATACGAACCTGAGGGAATGCTCCCATTTGAAATACCATCTGTAACTTTGGACATAATGTTCCTGGCTGTCGTTCGCTTCCTCACCGGGGTCTTCATTCTTTTCCTCACTCGCCAAGTCATCAAAACTCTTTCCCTCAAAGCTCTGTGTGCTTGGTTTGATATTCCAATACGGGACACAGAAGCCAGGAAAAGACTAGAGATCGAAGTGCCATATAAATTTGTGACATACTCATCCATTGGCTTCAACGCAACAGCAGTAGTGCCTTTACTGTTTCAATTCTTAGGACTACTCTGACCATTGCAAGCAGTCATCGCCAGATAATAATATAATAATAATGCTTGTTTGATATAGCTCCTTATCATGTTGTCGAGACATCTCAAAGATTAGTTCAGATGGTGTCTGAGGTGTGGTTTGCTGACCACCCACCCAAATTAATGAAGACCTACCAAAAAAACATTTCTTGCAAACTTCTTAGTTACTATTTCCCCCCATCTGGTCACCGACATGAATCAGCTCTAGCCGTGAGCAGGTGGCCAGCCCCAGGTCTCTGGCAGCTATGCAATTAGCTTTGACTAGGATAACCATGTGTGGCCTGGGATTATGTTCCCTCTAAATTATACTTTTTCTTGCAAGGAAAGCATCATGAGGTGCTCATGTTAGAACCTCCGCAGTGTGAAAATCTGGGAGTGAACCCATGGCCAATCACTCTTTAACACTGCAGGTTGAGATTCCAAATTCCCCCTCACTGCTCTTCCAACAGCTTCGTTTGTTGTATCTCAGTACTCTACTATAGGAGAGTAAACCAGTAATCTGAAATGTTTTCTCAGGGGTATTGAATCAGGGATTTTTTGCACCGAAATATTTTTAAAATTTAATACTGTATTTACACCAGTGTATGATGTGTCCATTGAAGTGTCACTTGCATCAATAATAATGGTTGTACCCCCCCCTCCCTTGACACCTTCAAGACCATCTCAAGACCCTCCTCTTCGACCGTGCTTTCGATCTCCCTCCTTCCCCACCTGCCCTCCACCCTCCCCGCCCCCAACCCTCAGCTCGGGTCCGTAACTCTGTCTGTCCAGCACCTTGGGATATCTTCCTGACGTGAAAGGCGCTTTACAAATGTAAATTTTGTTGGTGGTGTTGTTGATAGTTTCATTAAATGAAAAGGATCACTGTGGCAAAGTAAAATTCCAATTTTGTTTCTATTCTTTGCATTGGACCAGCAAGCTAAGTTTACTTTGTGAATTAAAAAAGACTTTTAGGAATAGGACTTTGCTAAATTGGTGAAACAAAGTTTTGTGTTATTCCGAAGATTATTACATTTTCCACCAGTTCCCCTCACTGATACCTCTGCTGATGTAAGTTGTGTCCGATGGAGAAATCTCCATCAATATGAAATAGATTACCCGTAACAAATTTGGCAGTCCAAAATTACTCATGAATTCAAATTTCCACAGGTAAAATGTCATCTTTGTCACAAACTATTTTAACGATACTGCCCTTTTAACACATGCCAAGTACAGAAACAGCAGCTTTTGACATTGTATTGATTATTTCAGAGATGACATAAGGAAACTTCTTGAGCCACAATCATTAAGACATTTACTAAAAGCAAACTGTTCATGCCAAATTTTTTAAAAATGCTATAGAAGACAACATTTTATAAGATGCTTATTTCTCAGTGATGTGCAGCAGAGCTGATTGCAATTTTGTGTACAGTGAGATCCAAACCCGAGAGAGGATGTAATTTAAATTTCTTCTGTAAATTTCTAGCTAGAAACTTAGTACATTATAGATTTAACTGTCATGAAAAATAGGCAGATCGGAAATAAGAAGTACTCTTCACAACACCATGGGAATGGGTTAGCGTCTTAGCCAAATGTGACACCCCAACTCACATCTCTTTAATTTCAGTATCCAAACTGATCCCTAAAATAATGTGCCTGAGAGATTTATGAAGGGCAAACACATTGTGTGTGTGTAATGGTTTAAGTCAGGTGACTGCATTCTAGGTACATTTTAAAATATTATCCTCGCTGTATCACATAGCCCCAAATTCTCTTTGTGTCAAAAATTGTGCAGATGACCCCTTTAAACAGCCCTCACTATCAGCCTCTGTATATACAAGCTATTCTAAGTGTTAAGTACCCTCTGTGTAATATATTGTCATTACATCTAGAATGTCCTAAATATGAGAGCAGAATTCAAGTCTTCAATGAAGCTTCGAGGGGAAACAAATGTTTTTCACTTAAAAATGAAGCTCAAGCTTTTCAGAGATTTGTGGATTCCATTTGGGATCAGATTGCAGAACACTAATCGAAGGAGGAAGCAGAATATTTCATTCACTATTAGGCCTTTAACATGGGTCAGTATGACATAAAATGGGCACTCAAACCATTTCCAGAAACTAATGTATAACAGTAGCTCCTGCCAGCTGGCATATTTTGCATCCGGAATACCCTTAAGTATACATTCAAACAGCATTTATTAGGGGAATCCCTGAAATAGTGTTGTGCCACTATTTGAAATGATTTACACGTGCTCTTTCTATTCTCTCCTTAGTGAAAATTTCTGTTTTATATGGATTTTTTCAATATCCAATAAACTTCTCATCCAATTCGTCTCAATATTTTAACATTCCAATCTTAAATATTGCATGGTTTATATATTGAATTAATAAGATTGAATTGCAGCATTGTATATTGATAAACTGGGTTGGTTTATACTGAAGAATGTACGATCATGTTTCAATCGCGCAGGCAAAATTACACTAAGGACATATTTAACCGCAAAGCAGACACAGGATTCTTTGCCTTATTAAATATTTATCTATACAGTGGAATAGTGTCAGTAGCTGCTTTTTGTGCAGAATGACTGAAGGACAGAAAAGTGTGATAAGAACTTCAGGGAGCAGGAGAGCAGTCTCATCCTTCAAAGAAACGGCTCCATGTCAATTTCGAGAGCGGAGCAGGGCATAGTCAGTTCAAATCTGGTGATAACATCAGGGTGAAGAACTCCCAGCTTGCCTACACTTTGACCTTTAGCAAAGATCTCTGCACATCGACCCGGGAAGAAGGTAGAATCTATAAAAGGAAGAAACAGAACAAAAACCATCAGTGCTTCAACATCTTCTATAATCAGCAGATGGAATTCAGTTCTCTCCCACTGCCTGAAGCTGGTAACTGATAACGCCTTTAATTAAATCTTCCAGGGCTCCAAATGAAAATTTATAATTGTCTTTCACTGGTCAGAACCGAGGCGCACTTTGATGATAGTGGCCAAATTCCTTTTTTTCATAATCCAAATGTGTAACCAGTCTTTATCACGTTTTCAACATAATTAACCATCAAAGGCACAGAATACCATCACATTTTCTTCACCAAATGACTAAACAACGATTGCACTTACAAATAGCTAACAGTGTACAATAGGTCAACTCTTTCTAATTTAAATCCACAGCTTCCCGGTAGGTCCTTTCTGTGTGTTCAAAAGTTGCATTTAGATATTTTCCTTATCTCTTCCCATATTACGCCTCCTCCACATTAAGAAACAACCTTCATTCAGATGGTCAGGATCTGGTTAATTTTCTGAGTGAATTACTGTTTGACCTGGTTAGAGGCAATGTCTGGCATTATTTATAATCTATTATTCACAATGCTCACTTTCTAAAATCTTTTATTTTCAGCCACTTTTTTCCCCCCCAACTGTATGTATTTTCAGTCTCAGAACTAATCCGTGGATTTTATTTCAAATGCACTATGGCACACAGTTTGTCCATTTTGAGAGCTGCAAAGTGTACTCCTGACTTATAACTATAGCTAGACAGAAATATTTTGTCTTTTTCTTGTTAACCATTACAGCTACCAAAATGTGTCTGTCATTTTTAAAATCAAATGTAAAACAGCAGAAGTGTTTTGTGCCTTTACAGTACTTAAGAAAAGTAAATCCTTGCATTTGCTGAATACAGAAGGTTAAAGTTATCATGGCTAAGACTGTGACCAGTGCATTAGCAAAAAACGTCACCAAAATTTTGTTGGCAGAGATTCATTTGCCATAACCTATACCAACTTTGCCTATCTTAAATATCACATAAGTGAGATTTTCCGGGAGAGGGGGGGGGAAAGACAAACGAACATGATGTTTCCTACTTCCCGCCCTCCCCCAACCTGGAAAATATCTATATAATTTCTCCTGGGAAAAGAAAAAAAAGTAATAGTGTTTAAAAAAAAGTTTCAGAAACGCTTGGATATTTTTAAGTTTGTAAGGTAACTTGCAAATGTTTAAGATTTGATTTAATATTTCCTATTTGATCTTGTTGGATTTCTATTCACGTAGCATTTAAATTATACAGTATATGTATTGCAAAACCTGCTAATGCTGCTAGATCTTCTAGACTGTTCTGATAAGGGTTGTGTTTTCTTGGTTGTCTCCTGACAGGCATCTCACATAAAATAAACTCACTCTCTGCAGCATACAGTAAAAATGTTAAATGTTAATTACTCAGTACATCATTAATTTTTCATGATAAAACATATTGATTAGCCTCTTATTCTGCCCTTAAGTCATTAGCAGACTCACGCCCTGAAAAAAAATATGGTTTGAGTTTTCTTGAAGCTGGAGACAGTAACAAAATGCAAATAAAACCAGAAAATGCTGAACAACTGAACAGGAAGCAGTGATGGGTTTGGGCTCATTCAGCATTTAGTTTTCATTTGCCAAATTGGCAAACTGTCCAATTCAGATTCAACTTTAAAGTTGTTTTTCTGCAGTCCCTAAAAGAACTAATAGAAAAATGGCTTCAAAAAGAGGCTTTATTTTACAAATTGGCCAAAATATGGAAGAGCAGTTCAGTGTCCAGCTCTTCCAATCAAAGGTTTAATTTCTTGTGTGTGTGGCAGGAACGACCTCAGTTAGTGTTTGGACTGCACAGGTGTAAAGCGTTTGAGGTGGTATGTCTAATCCTTTTAACTTAAATACTGCATCCACACTCAACAAAAACATCAAAGAGTACAACTGAACAAAGACACTGCTGCTACATCCACCAATAAACCCATCACCGGAAAACACCTGTAGCTATCTCCTTGTCCAGGCCTTTGCCTGAATCACAACAGATGAACCAGGTAACTGAAGGAACAAGATGGAAAGACGGATGTTACCTTCACAAACACTGAAATGTGAGATATTTTACATTTGGTGTCCTGCATGAAGTATTAATTGACGCACACTCAGTAAATATACAAAATAATGTACTCTCGTTGAAAACTCATTTTGCTCTGTTTGACAGTGAAAAAATATTGCATCATTTCAATGTGGAACCCACATAGGAACAATAACAAATATGCAGTATATCCAGGGCCAGAGGCACATCAATTGGTTTCAGTGCACTTGGGTTATGAAGGACACAGGAAACAAAATCACCTTTGTTATTTTCTTAAAATAATAAAAATAATCCTTGCATTTGATGTAGTACCTTCCAAGTCAGGAGGATGTTCTGAAGTGCTCCACAGGGTTTAATATTATTCATAATAACTTAAGAGTGTAATATTTTGTAGGCAAGCCCAGCATCCAATTTGCACACAACATACTGCAAACAACTGTGAAGCCATTCTTGTTCCTGAATGTTCCTATCTCTTGCTACTGGTGTCTTCCGAGGATGTCAAATGAAGACAGGATTGAGTTGGCTGTGATACCCATCAAAACATACAGTCAAGGCTCAAGTACACAACTGGGCATCAAGGAGTCAACTGATGTCCATGAACCTGGAACTCTTAAAAAGTGAGTAAAACATTTTCAAGAAAGATGGGGAAAAAATTGGTGAGAAAAAAAATCCTAACCTAATTTTCTATTTAAATAGCAGAAATCTTGCAAATGTTGAAAGTGATTTGTGTCACTGGAATGTTTTTCTAACATGAGATGTACATTTAGCTGGCGTCAATTACGTAACACTTTCAAAAAACTTGTTTGTGCAGATCCTCTGTTTATGTGGATTAAAAATCACAGCACTACAATCTAGTTTTCAGTTAAGTTAACTTCTCTTTGGAAGGGAGAATGAAAGAGGGAGATAAGAAAACCTCATGAATAGTAATCAGTTATCAACATATCACAGTATATTTGAGTTTGCAGTCAAATCCAACAACTTTGACCTGCTCCCTGGTTTATTTTTACAGCAAAAGATTACAGCAGAAAAGATCAAGAGTCTTGCTTTCCCAGCATAAGCAAAAGTGCCCACATTTGTATTGTTCATTTAAAAAGATTGGGAAACACACAAAATAATCTTGTGAAACCAATGGATTAATTTAAATATGGCTATCGAGATGTGCGTGTTGGTGTGCCTGCTAATGATTTTGACATGGGATGTTTTGTCGAGCTTTAGCTTTCAATATTTACATTCCCGTATCAAATAAGAAATCACAACCTCAAACAACTTGAACTAGAGTGATACAACTACAAAGTGGAATGTACCATTTCTTGGAAAACCCCTTTTTTTTTTAACTTAAAAAAGGCTGACCCGCTGAGCGAACCCATCAGGAATTCCTCGCCACTGCCCCATCCTGACCAAAATAATCTTTAAAAATCTAGTGAGCGATTTCCAACCTTTTAATATCGTGCTACGCTGTGCCTCAAATGATCTTTGCTTATTCTCCAAAAGAAAAATCTCGACGATTCTACTCAATGAATGGTAATTCTATTATTATGCCATTACACTTCTGCACTCGACATGTAATGCACTCACTACCTCTCCTGTCCACTCCCAGGAGACTGTAACTGGACCAGACGTCTGACTCATCCACTGTCAGCTCCGTTCCACCTTTTTACTAATGCTTCTGTTCCGTATCTAAATCTTAACAGGATCACTGAATCTCCTGATGATACATTCGACTCTGAATAGCCACCTACAGCATCTCCGACCCATTTCAAAATAGTCTCAGAGAGGATCATTTTTCACATAAATCTCCAAAAAAGGCAAATGGCACTCAACAATTTCACCCCTATTTCCAATCATCTGTACACCCCCAAAGGTTTTCCCTTCAGAGGTTACAAGGGTCACAACTTAGCGGTGTTATGGGGGGAAAAAAGGTGTTTTGCATGCCAGAAGATTTGCAAAACATCGTCCGTACGTGATATTGAGATGGCGAACATTAATTGGGTAATGACACTTTGTTTCCTACAAAACATAGTGGATAATATAATACTGATTAGCGATGGACACAAAATTCTGAATATTCAGTAACGGTTAATGTTTGCACCTCTTCGTAAATGTTTCCATTTGTGTAGATAATATCATTTTAGGCACAGATTCTAGATATGAAGCCATCTCGTGTTTGTGTCCTATATGCCCCGTTCATTTTGCCTGATGGAACTGGACAAATGGATGCAGAATGTTGGATGCTGAACATTTCGGCTAAACAAAAAGATGGCAAAATAGCTTTATAAAACTTGATATTTATGAAGTGTACGATCATCATTTACAACGCTTTAACTGAAAAAACTCAATACCTTTTAGGCAGAAAACAAATGCAACTCTAGCCCCCCAAAGTGTTAAATAATTTACAGCAGATGTTCATCGATTGCCATGAACAGAGAGTAGTAACCTAACAATTCTAATGTGTTGGCTGTTAATTTAATTGAGGTCTATTTTAAGTAACTGGGAATGCCCTTCCCAAACTCATTGCTTTCAGTGATCTGTCAAGGATGCTCAAACTGAAGTTAGACAAAGGCAAGACACTCAATACCAAGCCTCAGAATGCAGAAATGCCATGATCGCAAGTTTAACCACCATAAGTATTTAAATATTTTTTTCCAATCTCGTTTAAAAAAAAAAAAATACAATCCCAGAGTGCTTCTCTTTTCTCGGGACAAATACTCGACGTTTCACCTTTATTCCAAAGTACAGGATTTAATTAAACCGTGGAGTGAATTGAAATGTTGAATTAAGAATGGAAATAAAAAGAGATGAATGCTGCAAATAAATAAATATATAAACAGCTTCCATCTTCCCAACACTGCTACAAAGCTCTATTAGAGCTCTACTTAAAATTGGAATATTTTGGGGTCTTAAAATGTCACTTCCAGATTATCTATCCAGACCACAAACTACACATTTTTCAGATTCATATTTTACTTTTTGCACGTTTAATAAATATTTTTAATACAATAACAACTGATCTGAAGGGATACTAACTGTTAAGTTTCTCTTCCTCCACCAAACACTGTTTAGTTACTTCTTGTATAAATTAAAATGAAAATATACTTGGCAACAACTTTCTACTTCAGTAACAGTACTAATAATAAAGCAGTCAGCCATGAATGTCTACACTTACAAAAGGTTCTGATGACAAGGGCACAAAACCTGCGGTGACTGTACACTAATGTTTCACCAATCGTGCTCAAGGACAGGTAATACATTGGATAGCTCTGTAATTAGCTGTTGAAAATGCACAGGTTCACTTCAGTGACCTGCAACATACAGTTGGACACTGCAAATATGATCCATCAATAAATTAGCATAGTTTATTACCGAGAAATTATGTGTGCACGTTATAGAGAATATCTTAGAGTTTGGACACTTGTTATTAAGTTGAAGGCACATTTAAGGGGTTTCGGTGCCTGTGTAAAACATAGGAGCAGAGCTCAGGTGTTTCAATCATTGAAACCCTGGGGGTATGTTATAGCCTTGAACGTAATACCAAATATTGTTTGACAAAATGTATTTGTTTTCCTTAAAAGTACTTCATAATCATGCAACTAGGAGAGGTGATCATGATAACGTGTTGCTTGATCAATGCTATAACCTGATAGGAAAAGAGGGCTTACTCAGAAATAGCACGCATACTTTTCAAATGGAATAGTTTTCCTTATTCGAACAAACATTACTCAGTCTAGAAATTGGAAAAAACTAATAAAGGTTGCCCAATCAAATTACTATTGAAATTGAATATTCTATATGTCATCAAAAGGGTGGAACAAACATTCAGATTTGGCAAATTAAACAATCAGCCTACTATTTCCTGCTTCAATTTCCATTCAAAGTCTTGCAAAGTAATACGCTGTATAATCACATTCCCAATCTTGTTCTGCTTACATTTTCAGTCAATACAAACTAGATCAACAGCACTTTATACTGAAACTACTTTTATCTGCCATTTGAGGAATTCCCTACATGGTCGTTGAGCAAGTACCTCTATGTGAGAACAACGGGAAAGGAGAAGCTAGTGACCCTGGATTTCCTGAATTATTTGTTTTCTGTTAAATTTAAAATTCTTCTTGCACTTTTTCCACATGACCACTTGTTACATTCTTATGTTTGGTTGTCTTCGGGATCTGACAGACAATATACAATCTTTTTAGATCCTTTTTGTGCTCATTAATAATGACTTTGTTTTGCTGTAATATCAGACACGTTAACTCATCTGACACTGGAGTCCATTAATGGCTATCTTTGAAGATGTATTGGTATATGTCTTAAAAATTTGGAGGCAAACTTTATTCCACTGAGTTGCATTCTATTTAACACTAAAATACTGAATTGACAGACTTGCAAATATCTAACCAAACGCCACTTTCTAAACCTAGTTACTTTGCTCAAGGCTTTAGCTGATCCCAGCTACTAACAAGACAATATCATGGACTGATTCCTGGATACCTTCCATAATTGACCTGCAGATCATATTGAGCAAAACAATTCTCTGCTGTACAATATGTTTAGCCTTATGTGGAGATGGAAGAAGAGACCAGTTAAATCAAGTATTGTTTGAAAACATGCTTTAAATAATCCTAAATAATCCTTGCATTTGATATAGCGCTTTTCACGTCGGGAGGACATCCCAAAGCGCTTCACAGAACACACTGTAAAGTGAATTGACTGTATATTTGTGGGCGAACGACGCGGCAGCGAATTGCGCACAGCAATGTCCCACAAACAGTCGTAGATTGAAAATGACCAATTTATTATTGTTTTTGGTTTTCTGGAGGGATTATTATTAGGCTCTGTGTGGAGTAAGGAAAGTTGCCCAAGGTTTCGCCCTCTGCCGGGAATTGAACTCAGGTCTCTCGCTTGCAAAGCAAGTGCTCTAAACACTGAGCTACAGTACTCCACGATTTGTAGATTTACTCTTATTCTATGTATGTATGTGTGTGTTTGATGTGATATATCTGTGTGTGTGTGATGTGATATATCGGTGTGTGTGTGGGGGGGGGGGGGGGTGAATTGCTTTAAGAAATCCTCCTGAAATGAAAAGCGCTACATAAATTCAAATTGTTGTTATTCATAAAAAAAGGTACTTTAGACTCGTAAAGTTTTAAAAAATTTTCTCCAAAGTACAACTATCCTATTATATTAAAACATTAGGCAGCACACATCAAGATGCTAAGCACACTAGTTGCTAAGGGAAAAAGAAATCTCTCTTGAGATTACATTCTGCATATGACCTGCTTCTTTCAGGCTCCTAACGCATTAACAGCAAACCTAATTTGCTCCTGAACAGATTGATTTCCAGTTAAAGATGAAATATACTGACATATAACAGAAAGTTTTTGGAAGTGGTTAAGGTCAGAAGGCCAAAACAAACACTTGCAAACAGTTACACAATTTTCAGAAAAGAATATGGGGTTTAAAAACATTTCTCTATTACCATATTATTCTGTTCATTGTGTTATAAAATAATTAGGTTCGAATTAGACCACATTATTCAGGAATGTACTGCAATCTCTAAATCATAGGAAAAATCACATGATTGAAAAATGCCATCCTGCACTTAAGGAGTTAACTTACAGAGTACCTTATCACCGGGTACAGTGAATATGGATTTGCTTGAGATATTCCAAAATTATACGCACAAATTCCCGGAAATAAGAATACAGGCTTTGGCGAGAGATATATCAAAACACAATGGAACTGCAATAGACCATGTCCCCATTATCCAGTTTAATAGGAAAAGTAAATAATTAGTCAACTCCCAGGCCTGGCTCTCAAGTCAACCTACTCCCTTGGCTTCCAATCCACAAGCTTCCTGCTTGATGTGTTAATCAAAACACTAATGATCTCTGTGTGGAAGTTGATACCTCTTCATATTTGTCAGGCTGATGGGGATCTTGAGCACCAACCATCATGTGATCCCCATGTTGCAATGGCTTACAATGATCTTTTATTGAATTACACATGAACATAACATGGAGGTTAATTGGCTGTTGAGCTCACAAACCACCAGACTTATGCACAACAATATTTTATACTGTGCTATTAATCTCCCTTGAGTGTTGAATTTTGAGGCCTAAATTCAAGTAGTAAAGTACTTTCACATAGAGTTTGCCTAGACTGTTACAGAATGGTTCCATTCACCCCCAACTAGTCTGCCAGTGTTTGTGCTCCACACGAGTCTCCACCTTCCTTATCCCCTTCTCAGATTTAGCTCCATTCGCTATATTCCCTCATGTATACTTAACGCACGAGGCATTACAGATATCATTAAATAGCACCGGGACAGAATGGTCGATGGGAAGCCACACGCAATATTGTATACTTTTCCTCCTCCTCCCATTTTCAAAACACATCTCCATTTTTCTGCATAAATCTGGTTATTTTTATATGAACACGACTGAGTTACAGCTGAAGTTCGGTTGTAAATGTTTTTAAGAGTCGCGATTTTCTTGCTATGCGGATATCTATTTTAATAAGCAATTTCATTGCAATTTGGCATATCATCATTTTTTTTTTAAAAAATAGTCGCTGTTGACAATTTCAATGATGCCCCGCGGGTGGGGGCGGTCCACAATATTAAGGCAGATAATCGAGAGTGTAATGTAATATGAAGTGATCCCGAATAACAGCCTAACAATGGACTTCTTCTTAACTGTTGTGGAACAGCAAACATTCCAAGCATTGAATAAAACCAGGCAACATGCAGTACGCGGCCTCACCTTCTGCTGCCTGAATATAGTATCCGTTCTTTTTCCCTGGTTTCACTTCAAGAAGCTGCATTATACGGTCCAACAGGCCATGGATCACCTCAAAGCCAGGATTCTTGTTGTAGTACACAGCACAGAGGCGTCTGCTGTTCCTCACACCAACATCTATTTCAATAAATTAAAAGTTTTAAGCGCCTGCATAATTGGTTTTCCCTTAATAGTAATTTGAACGTTTTTTTTAAAAAAAGGAGATGCGTGTACTTGTCCCCTTCGTCAGAAAGAACACAGGAGGCAACTATCATCTACATTAGAGTAAGGTATGCATTACAGTTACAGCAAATGTTTGAGGTAACTCTAAATGTGCTCCGAGGCAAGTTCTTGCTGAAGCTCAGGAAACTGTCAAGAAAGCAATGCAAACAGCTTGGATCATTTAAGATTGAAAAGAGTTACGATGGAAATGCAGGAGAGACTGGCATCATGGAACGAGAGGGAGTTCAGCGAATTAAATCGCACATCACAGAGCTACACAAAAAAAACCTCAAAGAACAAAGAAGCAGAGAGACATGCATTCTTGGGGGGGGCTTCGGAAAGAGGATAGAGGTCTAGAAGTTCAGTGCCAGGGAGAAATCAGTAAGAAAACAACATAATTTACTTGTAATGGGGGGGAGGGGGAAAAAAACAAAGAAGCAAATTTAATAATATTCACCATTAGTACCAACTCAAACAACAACTGTGTTTAATAATTGTTTTGGATGCCAATTATTGTGTAAATTCCCTAGTTTGGAGAAAAAAATGAAACAGAATTCAAGTTTTTAAAATAATGAGTAGAATGGAGAAAGGCTGGCTCGAATAAATCAAAACATATGATTATCAGCCGGAAAACAAACGAAGCACATTTTAGCTTTAACTTTAAGCTCTCCAAGACACGACCTGTGTGAAGGTTGCTATATAAACACAAGTTGTTGTGAACTTGTTCATATAACAACTCACCAAACAGACTGCTGCTAAGTCCAGTCAAAACTGACTCAATTAAAAGGAAGGAAATCACTCGATTCCTGACTCAGGAATTAAGAAGAGAGCAACGAGCAACTTGTAGTAGATTCAGATGAAAGTAGACAAATCAGGTTAGGAAACAGGACCAAGATGACAGAGGCTATTGGATAATCTGGTGATCCTTTTCACTTTCAAATTTGTTAGTGTTTCATTCTACTATATTTATGCTTCTTTTATATGTATTCTATCATAGAAAAAAATAGACACGTGTGTGTGTGTGTGTGAACTCAACACCGCAGTAAACAGGGAATCCTTCCTCACGCCCAAAATGTAACTGGCAAAAGAAAGTTGAAATCCAGACTAACTCTATTATAGCACTAAGCAGCAGAATTTCCTGCACACAGTGACATTAATTCTGCTGGATACACAGAAAGTGACGTCAGTGGTACCTGGCAAACTGCAGGCAGGTCATTTTTTTAGCATGGAAGCTGCACTTCCACTAATCGTGGGTCCATCGAGATGCAACCCTGTGTGAATGGCGCTATATAAATGCAAGTCGTTGCTGTTGTCCACAGGGAAAACTGAATCCGTGCTCTTGTAGGATTTAATAAGATTGCCCTATACTTTATGATGGGTATAATCTGTCTCTGCTTCTTGAACAACTATTTTTGCACTTAACAAAAGCACTACAATTTGAGAACAAAATGAATCCTATGGTCACAGAATGAGCACCAGATAAAATACTGATCTTATACCCTTGTAGTTTCAAGCAATTAAATCAAAATATTATTGCAATATCAGGAAAGAATTTTTTGTGGCTTAAAATAGCAAATCATATTTACTTAAGATGTTTAAGGAGATCTGTGGCTGCACAATTAACTGAATATGTACCACACAAGTATGTTGTTCTATTTCTGACCTCTGACAGGATATGAGGCAACCTATGAATTTGCTATTTATTCAGCACTATCCAATATGAAAGATAAAGAAGACAATCTAGGTTTCTCATGCTTAGTATCGAATTTATTACATTCATCTTCACTGCAGCTATTCAAGAGAGTGATATTGATAACTAACTCAGGTTTTAAAAAGAAACATTTTAAACATACTTACCGATAACCAAATGATTTTTTTAAGCAAATATAAACGCTTTTGATAAAAATGATACATTTACAGAAGATGCAGGATTCAATATTCACAAGTTGTACTTCATTGATATGTATAGTAAAATGCAAAGTTATCTGACTACATATGCGCTCTTATTTTTGATAGATCAAGCTACTTTTGATTTTCATGTTAGTGCATAATAAATACAATGCAACATGTTTAAATTATAACAGGCAAGTAAATGTAACAAAATATTCCCAGTCAATACCTTTAGAGGAATCTTTCAATACCACATCTGAGATTTCGAACAACTTAAGTGGCAGTGGCATCTTCCTATTGGCTGCAATTGTCTTCAGCAGACCAGACAGAAGTGTAGTGCGAGCGACCTAGAAGAGTCACGTAGAAACTATTAAGCATTATTAAACAACTATTAAAATAGTGTATTCATAAAAGGATGTGGGAAAAGGGCAGTGGAGTATGTATAAATTAATAGTTTTTTCACAAAACCCAGCAAAGGTGTATGCTGTGCAGTAACATTTTAGGATTCTATCATCAGCATGACTGGATTTCGTCCTTGGTCTGAAATATGGACTGGTTGAAGAACCATCACCAGTGATAGCAGAGTTTTCATGATTGCCCGCTAAAATAAATGCCTTGTGCAATTATCTTTATTGAGCAGCATCAGCAAATATTAGAGGATAGACTTTATGTGGGATATAAAAAAAATTCCCATCTGGAAGATAACTTTAGTTTGGGCATATAAGGCAATACCAAGGCTGTTGCTAAGGCTAATATTTATCTTCAATAGTATTATGAACATTTTGATCCCTTTTCTAATATCTGAGTCAAAACATTACCAGTGCAATATTCATAAGTCACAGATATTGTATACTGGAATCATCTGAAGGCTTTTTAACGTGCAAACATTCATTCTGACCGATTATTAATCACACTGCATGTCACTCTGTACGCCTGTATTTTCGTGACATTTGTTTTTTTTGGAGCATTTGAAATTGTGACGTTCCTGGAGAACTGAATTCTCGGCAGCACTGAATGAAGGAAGTTTACAAAATGAGGCAGTGATGCCACCGTGTGGCCCTTCTAAGAACTCCAGGTGGGAAAACCTCCAGAGCAATTCACTGTGAGGCTTTATTTAAAACTTAAAACACCTTTTGGATCTTCTGGCAAGCCGTTAAAACATGACAGCGCAGACTCAAAAATCAAGGCAGGTGGGCGCTTTAAAAATAAACAGTTCACTGGAAATCTATCGTCTGGTAATAAAGCAGGTTAATAAATCAATAAGAAACTTTTTTAAAAAAAATAATTGTACACAAGTATTTCTTCAAAAAGCTGGAAGAAGATATGGACTTAAAACTTTTCAACAAATTTAATTGATTTCCACACATACCTGGAATTCGGCTGTTTTGGGGTTGGCAATATGTACTGCCCTCGTTACCGCTATATCTTTGCAGAGTCGGTCTGCGATATCTTCGCGAGAACACTGAAGTAACAAAGACAATAATATGTATACTCACCGCATAATGGCTAAACAGAAGGCACAGCGTAAAATCACTTCACACAAAAATAAACTATTTTGCCTTCTGGGATCCAAATTTTAGCTCAGAGTTGTCAAACGGGATATTTTCTCAAATGTAGCAAAAACACCACGTTCAGATTTCAAAGAAAATTTCCTTGAATTCAGTAGTAAATTCAACAATGTAATTTCAAAGCAAACAAAATTACACATTAATTACAATGCCACTCATTTTTAGAGAAAGATTTCTACTATAATTTTTTATTACTGACATTTTAAAAAAGTTCCAAAATATTTCATTTGAACTGGATCTATAGGATTCCTGTCCCAAAATTACGTTAGGCCACTCGACGTAAAGAACAATTTAACTTAGAAAAAAAACGATCACCACATAGAATTCCTGCCACCAATATTAACATTTAACTAATTTCCTAACAAGTTAGCATATAAATCACTGGTACATCTTCCTGTTGAACGCTTTCTTTTAACTCACTGAATAAAATTACAATTCTATGAATTCAATGTTTTTATTTTAAAAGTGAAGTGGATTTCATTTGTATTATTACCATTTCCCAGGGACTTACCAGGGCAAAAGTCAATGCCTCAGTGAATCCACCAGCAGCCATGTCTTGCCTCAGCAACTCGGAGAGCTTGTTTATTGGAAGCTAAGAGTGAAAGTGGCATTTGTTAACAGACCAAAGAGAAAGAGAGAGCGAGAAATAGAGACTCAACAGCACCAACATCTATTCAGGTTAGCATTTCACCTTAAATAATGTGCTTTTGTCAACAAGGATCATGACACTTACCTTCTTAACATGTACATTAAAGTTTACGAGCACAACCTGTAATTAATTTGCACCAGTTTAGCAGCAGCGTAAGCAACAACCAAGATGCTATTCTCTGACCTGATCGGCAATAGTATAGGTTTTTGGAATGGTCATCTGGATGTTATTGTAACCATAGGCTATTGCTGCATCTTCTACAATATCACACGCATGGATGACATCTGCTCTTGTGGGAGGGATTTCAATTTCTATTTGTGTTCCATTCCCTATCACCTTGGACTTCAAGTACATCCGAGTCAACAACTTAGCGACAGATTCAGGTGTTTCGCTGAAAGTGAAATCAAAATGTAATTGTAAACAACCTAGGCATTCTTAAAACCCAAAACATTTAAACAATAATAATCTTTCAAAGACTTACTTTATTCCTACTTGTTTATTAATCAAATCTGTATTCATTATTTCCTTTCTGTAAGCCATCTCCTACAAGAGAAAACAAAACAAGTACTATTAAAACAAAACAAATGTTATTGCAAACCATCAACAAAGCAATTTTAAACACTGAGTGATTTCTAATACAAGCAAACATATATTTCAGTGACCATTACACGTACAAAGTAAACTATTTTAAAGTTGAGGTTTCAATAAAAAAAATCAGAGACGTCAACCATAAGAAAAGCCTGAATCTTCTTGAAATGCTGCATCCGACCCAGTCCTGTCACACAATCTAGACTCAGGTTAAGGACTATGTGGTGGGGTTCTCCTGCTGACAGCTTCCAGGATCACTATATCACTCTACTAATATGCCCTTGTGTATACCACATACTGAATCAGATTACAGCACACTGAAGAATCAGTGTAATTGTAACTATCTGGGCTCAATTCATATTTTAATACACAGTTTTATACTGTGCTTTCTACAATGACTTGCCATGAAAAATACAGTATATAAACAGAGTTGAGCAGCATAATTCAAAAGGGCTGGAGTTGGCTGCTGTGAACCCCATGAGGAGGTGGTTTTTGAAGCACACTGATTGCACTGTCAGAGTACGAACACAATATTTTGTTTAATATTCTTCATACAGAGCTATCCCAATAGGCTTAAATAAGGAAATCTATTGCCATTAACCTTAAGTTAAACCCTCTTTGGCAGAAAACTACTTCCAGCAACATATATATTAAATATGTGAACTCAATGTTTTAACTTCTCTCTTTTTGATTTGAACTAATTAATTGTTGTACTGCTGAAACATTATCCTATTACCGAATGTTTCTGTCAATTTATTGTGCTTTTCCTTGACGCCATGAGGAACTTTGAGTAGAGAAATGGGGGAGCCTAAGTTCTCCCATTATCTGTAACTGGTGACAAAAGATAATTATGACCAAGGCTATTTCTAAGGCATAGATTGGTTGTGAAACTGTCCATTAATAGATATATAATACACTAGTCGCTCAATGAAAGGCGATATGTGAACATTGGTACTTACTGGATAGATGATTGTTTCCTCGTTGGGATAAATAATTTGAGCTGCCTCAACACTGCAAGACAGATTCACCAATAATTAGTGGCATTTGGCAATTTCAGGTATAATGTTAATGGTTTTAATTGTATTTGAAATGTAAAATTCCACCGGCATAACCAATTTATATATACTTGTAACACTGAAAGTAAAACAATGTCAACTCTTCATCAATCAGAAGAAAATGTGTGCAATTTTCTTGCTGATGAACAAAATGTCAGATGGAAATTATAATCATATTCTAACAAAAATAATAGAAATAATGGGTACGAAAGTGTTTCTCATCTTTTATATTAATCACATTTACCTGCCAGATGTTTAACATCATCGTCAGAAACATAAGCTCTTATTCTGAAAGAGCATTAATAGAAGCAATAAAGGGAGATTTTACAGAATTGAAGTTACCAAGAACATAAGCCTGCAACTCTAAGTCTTTTAGTAAAGTGATATCAAAATATTTTTGGAAGTACTTACGTAAACGGTTTCTCACAATATTCACTGAACATTGTGACAATTGTGTCAAGGACTACTTTTGCCTGTCGCAAGAAACAAAGCACTTCATTTAATTCAGTTTGACAAAAACACTAATGAAATCAAATATAATACAAACACATGTCTGAAAGTTCATAAAGCTGTAAAAACATTGCTGCACTTACTTTAGTACGATCAGTTGCAGTACATTCAATGAAAACATTCTGAGTGTTCAGTGTTATTTTACTGTGGTCTCCTAGCATAATCAAAGGCATTAAAAAAGGTCAATATATCCTTATCCCAGTTACTATAAATACACAGTGGAGACGATATAAAAATACTGCGTTATCCCAGTTAAAACAGTCTGCTGAACATCTAGTCGTTCTACTTCTGGTGCCAACATTCGCTTTCTTACTTTCCTTTCCAATTAGGAAAATATTTTTAACAAGAATTTATTTTCATCAGAACTTAAATGCTACGATGATACAGCTATTATTATTATTATATAACTATTAGATTGATTGAGTGTGATAGATTGAATAATCTATGGAATAGTAGAATGTGGATTTTTTTATCTCCATAGTTCATCAAGTCGATACTTTTCTGCTTTCCGTAGGGTATTCATGAATTAAACATCCATTAATTAGTCTATAATGCAATTTGCCATATCTAATGGGAAATAGCACCCTCAAAACCACAGCAGTAGATAGTACTGTATGTTATACTCACCATTTATGATAGGGGGCATAGAGAGAACCACACCATTGCTGTCATAGATAACTGGGTAAACTGGCTTGTCTTCAATAATATGCAAGTAATGTCGAAGTTGACTATCAGTCTGAAAAGAAACCGAATTAATAGAGTTTCAAGATTATAATTTGGTGGGAATAAACAAATGTTAAATAAACAAATGAATTGTGAAAGCAAAATCCAATGTTACATTTGTGACAGGTTTATAATTCAGAGAGAATATTTAGGATAAAACAAATCCCTACCTTGTATAGATCCATAAGTTCTAGAGCAGTGTATTCCTTCGACTGATTTAATGGTTTGAATTTAATCTCAGAGGGTGGTTTTGCTGTATATGTAAAGGGTCCAGATATGGTGTCCAAATCATGGGTACCAATAGCAACCAGAGTTCGTTTCCTACAAACGAATTATGTACATTCATGATTTTCTTCAATTGTATGTTCAACAAAACCATTGAGAAATTAACTCAGTATTTGAGAGAAAAGTGCACAATATAAGGGTTGCCCTAACTCTTTAATTACTTAAAATGCGTGGTGTGAATGCAATGTTTCATGATGGGGTACAACAAAAAGTTCTTTAGCAACCTGCAAGTTCTTTATTACTTCCAAACTGCCCATCGATGGAGAAACTGTTCCAAAGGCATTTCCAGAGGGTGGATGAGAAATTTTAAAAGCAAATCTTAGTCTTGGTTTCCATGTTGACACGACAAAAGGTTGTTACAACAAGCAAATTAAATCTTCAAAATGCTTGTGGTTTTGCTTCTGTCCAATTCATACGGCAGTGGCCATAAAATAAAGATGATCTTACCTGCAGATGTTTTGATGCAGCTTTTCTTGCAGCTCAATGAAACTGTCATAGCGATCCTTAGTAAACTTGATATTACGCAGAACGGCTGCTACTGCATGCGGACGCACCTGTGCAGTCTATGAAGCAAAGAGAAACATTGTGAAACACGCAAACTGGTCTATTATATTGTGGATGGTATGTTGGGGGTGGGGGGAGGTGAACAAAGGGGAGAGATTCACCTCCATCAATTCGGTTTATCAAAGAAAAATTACGTCATCTGTTTCAGTTCTTTTAGCTTCTGAGAGAGGGCACGAACACTGCCTCCAAGATTTGACAGAACCATGAGTGGGTGATGTTATCAAACAAATGTTACTGTGCTGAAATGCATTTACTAAATGCAATCAGCCCCTTAAAATATCAAATGACCGTGTATTGTAGACACAGTTAGAGAGAAAACTATTTTCTAAATACAGAATCCCTTTTCTTACCTCTTCTGTTATTATCAGTTTCTGCATCTCCCCATTCAGTGGTCCCACTCTTGTGTATTTTGGGGCTTCAATTCTGCATGTGAACATGAGAAACACCATGAACAACACTACACAATCAAGAGCAACGGTTATTGTAACATATCAATAATTTCAGCAACAGGTTATGTAATTGAAAGCTATTGAGTCCAAACGCCTCCAATATTGCCACCAATTGTGTGCAGGATAGACTTTCCACTGCTAGATGTCACAAACGCACTTTTAAATAAATGATCATATCATTATTTTGAATAAAGGAATCAAATCATACAGATTTCAGAACTCTATCTACTCTGCTGCTCTGTATTATTACGTCCTATCTCCATTGGAGACCTAAGAGCATAATTAATTGACTCATATCTCTCTATCATTCCTATTGAGGCAGGTTAGCTCATGAGAAGAAATAAAACATTTCCTTAAAAGGTTATTAGGTCTCCTGCGTTTTGTGAAGAAACACCTGCAAAAAATTTACAGAAGAAGTTTACAGATTTGGAGATCACAATGTTTCTTTTTTTACAATGGCACTAAATAGAAATACAAAATAACCAATAAATAACCCGACAACATAAATATATTGAATACCAAAATATTAAACATCTATTTTTGTTTTAAAACTTTAAAAAAAAAGTGAGCTTACCTCTCCTTAAAGACCTGCAGTCCACGTACCAGTCCTTCCAGGCATAAGAGATCATAGCGATTAGCAGGAACATCAATCTTATACAAGACTATATCAGATGCTCCGTCTGCTTTTCCATCTCCCTGCTCTCTGCTTATGATGTCCTTTTCAGTTGTCTGCCAAAACAGGACCAATATTTCACCATCAATTTCTAATTTCGATTTCAAGTTCTTTTTTAAAGAAACCTTTTTTGGTTACAAATCTGTAGGTTTAGACGAAGAATTTCTTCACTAAATGTTTCCCGTTATGCGAACACAGATAATTGCTACCCCATGGCATAGCACATTGAACACCTGAAATCCAACACAATGAGATACTAAAGCACCTCATCATCGTCATATCTTAGCAATAACATTCTCTTTGATGACTTACTACACTGATGTATATCCAACAATAAACGCGGTATCTACGCAGTTAAATTAAACGTGCCTTTTAAGGTTAACGGCCATTACATTTTTAAACGGAAAACGCAATCTTTGGGCAAAACAGATTTCGCGTGATATTGGAAAGAACTTTTAGCGCCTTGCAATATTTATGCAACCATAATAATGTGGAACCTTACCACTTCATCAAGCTCCAGACCGAACTCAAAGCAGAGTTCATCAAATTCTTCATCAGCTGTAGGGATAACAAAACACATCAGCTGTTGAGACGCTCTTATAGAAACTATATCTCTACGTAAAGCAATTTTCATGAAGTGTCCCTATACAATCTCCATTGGGCATTTGTTAAAATTCTTCTAAATCACTCATAATGCTCCTTATAATGATCTGACATTTATGCCTCCTCTCGCCATGTTCCATCACCAGCAGATATAATAATGTTTTGCTATTTACCCTCTCAATTCTTATCACTTTTGTTAAGTCTTCTCTTAACCATTCCCTGTTCCATTGTGAAAATCCATTTTTTTTTTTTTAAAAAATCCTCACGATTACATCCTCCACTCACTCCCGCAAGTGGTTCAGTTAACAGCAATCTTGCCTCCGCGTCAGAAGGTTCGCTCCCCACGTCAAGACTTTGAAATGACAGTCCAGGCTGACACACCAGTACAGTGCTGAGGGGAGCACTGAATGGCCGGAGGTGCGTTGTCAGATGAGGCATTAAACCGAAGTCCGGGCCGGCAGAGATGTTTCAATGCCATCATAAGACACGATATCAAATGCAACCCTCACTTGCTAATAACCTTATGCTGCATCCACCATAATTCTGATACCGTTATGGTAATTAATACATCTCAATCCAAGAAAATGAATACCATACGTTTCTCTCGCCTGATCGTTCGAAAATACTAGATTCCCATTTCTATCTTTAATCGTGTATAACGCTTGCATTTAACATAGTGGATTTCATGTTCATAGTGGAGTCCTGTAGCTCAGCGGTTAGAGCACTCGCCTTGCAAGCGAGAAACCTGGGTTCGAAACCTTGGGCGAGTTTCCTTACTCCACACAGAGCCTAATAATAATCCCTCATGAAATAAACAATAATAATTTGGTCACTTCAAACCACAACTGCCTGTGGGACACCGCTGTGCGCAATTGGCTGCCGCGTTCCGCTCACAAATATACAGTCAATTCACTTTACAGTATATTCTGTGAAGCGCTTTGAGACGTCTAGAAATCGTGAAAAGCACTATATCAAATGCAAGGATTATTATTATGTTAGGAAGGCGTCTCAACGTTGTGAACAGGATCGACAATAAAGTGAGTGACTATATATCAGGTCAATGAGGAATCGCTTGTTATGGTTTAGAAACGAAACTACTGTCACGTGTGAAACCGAACGCAATCATCAACTGGATTTTTTTTTAAAAAAAGCCACTTCATCCCGTTTGATGAAAGGTTCTCAAGTCCTGTCATCTCCCTGACGTTAGCAAATCCACTACAAGCTCAATAACTTGGGAATAGGCAGCACAGCAATACATAGTGCGCAGAGCGGGGGGGGGGGAGGGAGGGAGGGAGGAAGAGAGAGAGAGAGATAGTGTACTGTATGATGCAATAAGCACCATCTCTGCCCTCTGAGGAGCCCACAGGTCATCAGGGACAGGACACAGGAACAGCGAAATAAACACGGGATGAATCCCACCCCTCATGCCCCCCAGCCTCACCCCCCCCCCACACCAGCCTCACCCCCCCCACCCCAGCCTCACCCCCTCCCACCCCAGCCTCACCCCCTCCCACCCCAGCCTCACCCCCCCCCACCCAGCCTCACCCCCCCCACCCCAGCCTCACCTCCCCCCAGCCTCACCCCCCACCCCAGCCTCACCCCCCCACCCCAGCCTCACCCCCCCACCCCAGCCTCAACCCCCCCCTCCACAGCCTCCCTCCCTCCCCCACCCTCACCCCCCCCACCCCAGCCTCACCCCCCCACCCTCACCCCCACCCCAGCCTCACCCCCTCCCTCCACAGCCTCCCTCCCTCCCCCAGCTTCACACCCCCACACCCCCCAGCCTCACTACCCCCCCCAGCCTCAACCCCTCCCTCCTCCCCCACATCCCAGCCTCACCCCCTCGCCCCCAGCCTCACACCCCCCCCCACCCCCGGCCGGGAGGGGCTGGGGAGGGGGCAGTGGGGGGGGCAGTCGGGGGGCAGTGGGGGGGGGGCAGGGGGGGGCAGTGGGGGGGGGCAGTGGGGGGGAGGGGGCAGTGGGGGGGGGGCAGTGGGGGGGGGGGGGCAGTGGGGGGGGGCAGTGGGGGGGCAGTGGGGGGGAGGGGGCAGTGGGGGAGGGGGCAGTGGGGGGGAGGGGGCAGTGGGGGGAGGGGGCAGTGTGGGGAGGGGGCAGTGGGGGGGAGGGGCAGTGTGGGGGCAGTGGGGGGGCAGTGGGGGGAGGGGGCAGTGGGGGGGCAGTGGGGGCGGAGGGGGCAGTGTGGGGAGGGGGCAGTGGGGGGGAGGGGGCAGTGTGGGGGGAGGGGGCAGTGTGGGGAGGGGGCAGTGGGGGGGGCAGTGGGGGGGGCAGTGGGGGGAGGGGGCAGTGGGGGGGGCAGTGGGGGCGGAGGGGGCAGTGTGGGGAGGGGCAGTGGGGGGGGAGGGGGCAGTGGGGGGGAGTCGGCAGCTCAGACACTGTTACACCTTCAGGAGCCGCCAAACCGACACATTGTTGCCGATTTGTGTCACTAACGGAGGAGAAAGCCGCGCCTTCCGGGAACTGAGGCAGATTTATGAATGAGTGAGTGAGTGAGTGGATGAGTGAGTGAGTGAGTGGATGAGTGAGTGAGTGGATGAGTGAGTGAGTGGATGAGTGAGTGAGTGAGTGAGTGAGTGAGCGGATGAGTGAGTGGATGAGTGAGTGAGTGAGCGAGTGGATGAGTGAGTGAGTGAGTGGATGAGGGAGTGAGTGAGTGAGTGGATGAGTGAGTGAGCGGATGGGTGAGTGAGCGAGTGGATGAAGGAGGGAGTGAGTGAGTGAGTGAGTGAGCGAGTGGATGAGGGAGGGAGTGACTGAGTGAGTGGATGAGTGACTGAGTGAGTGACTGAGCGAGCGGATGAGGGAGTGACTGAGTGAGTGGATGAGTGAGTGACTGAGTGAGTGGATGAGTGAGTGACTGAGCGAGCGGATGAGTGAGTGAGCGAGTGAGTGAGTGACTCACTGTGGCTGCGGCCCAGAGCCTGGAATAACAACTCCCGTCTCACACTGACAGTCGGCATTGCTCAGACCAGAGGGGGAGAGACCCCGCGCACAGCCCCCCCCCCCCCCCCCCCCCCCCCCACAGCTGTCCTGGCGGCTCCTGACTGCTTCGGGTTTTTTTCCCCCAAAACTCGTGTATATATATATTATTTTTTAAAAAAATATGCACTTTGCGCAGCGCCTTCTCTGCCCCAGAATTTTTTTTTAGATATATTTATATATGTGGCGATCATAATGTGATTTTTTTGGCCATCCATTCGGGCTCATTGAAGGGCTACTACACGGGAAAAGGATACACTTGAGAAATGTTGCTTCACATCAAGACCCCACACCCCCCCCACACACACACACACTCACACACACATTACTGCCCACGTGGCTCCTGTGTGGCTCTGACTTCAGGAAGTACAGTCAGGGCCACCGCCCAGAGATCATATTAGCAATAATAATAATAATTTTATAATAATCCTCGCATTTGTAATCCTCCTCCCCAGTGGAGTCCTGTAGCTCAGTGGTTAGAGTACTCGCTTTGCAAGTGAGAGACCTGAGTTCAATTCCAGGCAGAGGGCGAAACCTCGGGCAAGTTTCCTTACTCCACACAGAGCCTAATAATAATCCTCCAAAACAAAAACAATAATAAATTGGTCATTTTCAATCTACGACTGTTTGTGGGACATTGCTGTGCACAATTGGCTGCCGCGTTCGCCCACAAATATACAGTCAATTCACTTTACAGTGTGTTCTGTGAAGCGCTTTGGGACGTCCTCCCGACGTGAAAAGCGCTATATCAAATGCAAGGATTATTATTATTATTATTTGATAGAGCGCTTTTCACGTCTCCGAGACGTCCCGAAGCGCTTCACAGAACACACTGTCAAGTGGATTGACGGTGCATTTGGGGGCGAACGCGGCGGCCAATGGCGCACAGCAATGTCCCACAAACAGTCGTGGATTGAAAATGGCCGATTTATTATTGTTTTTGGTTTTGGAGGGATTATTATTAGGCTCTGTGTGGAGTAAGGAAACTTGCCCAAGGTTTCGCCCTCTGCCTGGAAATGAACTCGGGTCTCTCGCAAAGCGAGTGCTCTAACCACTGAGCTACAGGACGCACAGACAGATGGCGAAACCACCCCCCCCACCAAAATCCCTTCACGTTAATCATAGTATTATTGACAATATTATAATTCATATCCTAATAATATTCCCTCTCCCGCTGGCTCAGGGTCAGACTCCGCCCCGTCAAGCGCTCCCAGATTCCCCCCCCACCCCAACCCCCGCGTGAAGGGCGCTTATGTAAATGCAAGTTGTTGTCGCATCGACGGTAAAGGAATCCATTCCCAGCTCAGCGGGCAGCGCGTTCGCATCTCGAGTCGGAAGGTCGCGCGTTCGGGCTCCACGTTAGGACTTTTTGGAGCGCAGAGTGTAAGGCCGAGCGCTGTGTTGTCGGAAGACGCCATCCTTCAGCTGACTCAAACTTTGTCTGTTCAGGTGGATCCCACGGCACTATTCGAAAAGAGAAGGCGGTTTCTCCCTGGCTCACAATGCCCCAGAGAGAGAGAAAAAAATGGTCGTTCGTGGCACGATTGTTTGTGGAACGTTTCTGTGCATAATTGGCTACTGCATTCACCTTTAAACGCACAGTACCTACACTTTGCAGAAAACTTTGAAGCTCGGGATGCTTTACGTGCTGAGGTGCTAGATCTAAAAAAACTAAAGCCTTCACCATCAGGAAAATGATAAGAATAACATCTGTGATCAACGACAGTGGAATAGGTAGCGAATCCCATTTCCCACGCAACTTGAACTAACCAACAATCCCTCAGATAAATTGATAATTCCCATCATCGCTGTTTGTGACCTGGCTGTACGCAAAACGGCTGCTGCATTTGCACGCAAAATCAGTCACTACACTGGCTAATAATTATTGTAAAGCATTTTGAGGCCGTTAATCTTAAAAAAAAACACCACCAGGTGTGTGGTTTAATGTGTTGCAGAACGTGTCAACAAAACTATGAAACAAAACCAAGAAAGGTGACAATTTCATTCAGTTTTCGGGTTTTTTTTAAAAAAAAGAGCAAATTTACTGGATTGCCGGGTTGATCAATAGACGCCAAGAACTGGGCGTTGAACCGACACAAAAGGTCTTGTCGGCCAGTTTTGTTCAGTCGGCAAATATTTGCTCGAAACTAAAGTGGAATAATAATTTGGCGAATTGCATTCTTCCTTCGGGTGAAATATGTGGTGGTGGATTTCATAACCTGTTTTAACATATTTTGATCTGGCCTTGAGCAAGTCAGAACATAGGCTATGTATGCCAGCTTTGAAGAATGCAATATTGATTGCAGATTGATTTGCTCTCCACACCCAAAATGGGTGATTACATTCCACTTTTAAAACAGCTTTTTTTTTAACAAAAATAAAGAAGGAAACCTTGGGGAAAGACTGCCACCTCGCCTTCGGTGGAGTGAACAGAACCTGACACAGTTTTGGGGGTTCTTTCAGTCAACAGAGCTGCGAAAATGTTCTGAATTAGTGGGAGGGGAGTGGAAGTCGAGTTCAATTAGATTTGTCCTCAATGTTCCGATAGACCAATCTGCTCTTCGTGTCTTCAAAACAAAATCAATAAAAAGTGAGCGTCGGTCACAAGTGTGGAGTCCTGTAGCTCAGTGGTTAGAGCACTCGCTTTGCAAGCGAGAGACCTGAGTTCAATTCCAGGCAGAGGGCGAAACCTTGGGCAAGTTTCCTTACTCCCTCCTAAAACCAAAAACAATAATAAATTGGTCATTTTCAATCCACGACTGTTTGTGGGACATTGCTGTGCGCAATTGGCTGCCGCGTTCGCCCACAAACATACAGTCAATTCACTTTACAGTGTGTTCTGTGAAGCGCTTTGGGACGTCCTCCCGACGTGAAAAGCGCTACATCAATTGCAAGGATTATCATTACTATTATTATAAATATTTTCAGGACAAAATATATATATATCAAGTCTGTAGAACTGCAGATGTTTATTTCCTCCCCAGTACATCCACTGCTCTTTAAAGTTATCCCTTCTTTTTAGGGCACAGACACTCCCTCCCTCTCTCTCAGCTCTATTTCTATTTGTGTGTAATTGATACTCAGACAGTTTCACGGTGGAGGGCGGAGACCCAAAGTTAAATGCCCCATTTTGGTTCAAAGATTTGAGTGTTTTTTCACTCCTGTGTGTGTTTTTTTTTCTTTTTTTTTGATTTTTTAAAAAAAAACACAAATCGACTCCCCCTCCTGTTCCTCTCTCTAAAAAAAACCTCTCGCCACGTCCCTTTTACACAGAGAGTTCAGGAGCTCATCAACTTCTTAACTGGGACAAACCCTGAAGAAAACACAACCATCACTTTTTTTAAAAAATATATATACAAAAAAAAACACAGACACACAACTCCCCACTTCGTTGCTCAGATCGTGTAACCGATTCAACGGTAAATCTCTTCTTAATCGAATTAAAAGGGGGAAAAAGAAAAAAAAAAAGAGACTGTGTTCGGTTTAACTTGTGCGTCTCTTTGCTCCAGTTTCCATGTCCCCAAAAAACGTGGTGCGATCAGCAGTGACTTTTAACAACGATCTCAAGAACACCTTCTGACCGATGTGTTGCAAGAGAGAGAGAGAGAGAGGAAAAAAAATCAAAGGAAATCGACATTGCATTGCCGAGGGGGTCGGTGTTTTATTCGCAGTTCTGCAATTTTATTAACAGTACTAAACTTTTGCTTTTTCAGATCTGCTGCAGTGAATTGCCACCACTTCAGAGGGACTGAACAGCCATCAGTATGAGGATCCAGTTTGCACCCATCAACATCCCTATGAGTAGAAGGATTCAGACGGTTGCTGTGTGCCATTGGGTCTTTTCATTTTTGTTCCTAGGTAATTTGTTGTTTCTTTGGTGGGGAAAATTCCTATTTTTGAGTTAGATTTTGTAAATGCGAGCCGCGGCCGTTAAAACAAAAATGCGTTTGATACCGCGCGGTGTCGGGTTGAGACGTCTCAAGAGCATGTGGTGGAGGTCTTTGTAAAGTGCGGTGACTGTATTTATAAGGGGGAACGCCGCGGTCAATTTCTGCCCAGCAATGTCCTGCAAAAGGCCAATATGGAGTGAACGATAAAATGGTTTTAGCTTGGCTCGGTGGGTGTCACTCTCGGGTCTTAAGTCGGAAGGAAACGGGTTCAAGCCTGTTTTGTATCTGGGCGAATGTTGGCCATGAGACCAGGAGAAACTCCATCCCCTTCGAATAGTAGCCTGCAATCTTCACTGTCCACATCGACAACAACAAGGTTACATGTGTATAGCGCCTTTCACGTCGGGAGGACGTTCCAAGGCGCTGGACGGCAGTGTACGGCATTTCAGACCCGAGCTGGGGTGGGTGGGGGGGGGGAGAAGGGAGGGGAGGGGAAGGGGGTGGCCGATGGCATGGTCGAAGAGCAGGGTCTTGAGGTGGGACTTGAACATACAATATGTTTATCAACATACAATACAAAATTACATTTATAAAACTCCTTTCATGTTGGAAGGACTTGCCAAGGCGCTGAACAGTAAGGGTCATTGGGACCCGAGCGGGGAGTGGGGGGGAGGGGGTTAGGATCAGGATGGGCAGAGAGGGTAGGAGGGTGGCTGAAGGCACGGTCGAAGACGAGGGTCTTGAGGCGTGCCTTGAAGGAGGTAAGGGAGGGAATGCAGATAACAACATATTGCATTTATACTGCGCCCTTTACACAAGTAGCATCTGAAGGATAAGATGCTCTCTGCTCTGTATGATAACGTAAACTATGAGCTCCAAACCTGGGCGTGTGTTTGAACCACAAGCTTTTGATTATTTATTATTCTGCAAGGATTATTTTTGATGCTGAAGTGAGAGTGCTATCAACTGAGCCTGGCTACCACCTACAGAAATGGTGCACAATAAAACATTTACAATTTCCAAAACGATTTGCTTAGATTTCTCACAGGAAGTGGTGTTACCAATGCTATCTTGAAATTTAAAAAAAAAATCCCATGCAAACATTTTATGCCAAGGAGTAGATTTGCATATGTGCAATGTTTACGTCTCCATTTTCAAGACGGCAACAAGCTGCAAGTGTCTTTGTATTCATGCTCACCTTGGTGTATAGCCAAATTTGCCTCTATCTGGTAATCTATAGGAATTGTTACATTATCCCAATGTTTGAAATGTAAATGTATATCATTATTTAAAGTACCCTAAATTGGATTGCTTTACAGATTACTTAAAAATATAATAATAATCCTTGCATTTGATATAGCGCTTTTCACGTCTTTTAGAAGCTTCAATGCGCTTCACAGAATAGACTGTAAAGTGAATTGACTGTATATTTAATAATAATAATAATAATCCTTGCATTTGATATAGCGTTTTTCACGTCGGGAGGACGTCCCAAAGCGCTGTATGTATATATGTATATATATATGTAAATGTATATATTTGTGGGCGAACACGGCAGCCAATTGCACACAGCAGTGTCCCACATACAGTCGTGGATTGAAGTGACCAATTTTATTTTTGTTTTTTTTTCTTGAGTGATTATTATCAGGTGTGTGGAGTAAGGAAACTTGCCCAAGGTTTTGCCTTGCCGGAAATCGAACCCAGGTCTCTCGCTTGCGAGGCGAGTGCTTGAACCACTGAGCTACAGGACTCCTGTGAAACTAATTGCAATGCTGACAGTTTACTGTAATACGAGATCCCTTTATAGAGTACTATGTAACTGGGTGTTTCTGGCAAGTACAGTCACTACACTTAACAGTAATTACAATTAAGCACTTTGAGATACTTTAATTATATGATGCAATATTAAATGCAAATACTACTATTCCAAAAATTATTAGATGACCATACAGTTTTTTTAATTTTACGATATTTGCAAAAAAAAAGAAAGTGCTAATATGAGTCTACCTCAGTTAGCCTGACAGCAAAGAGGAGAGGAAATGATTGTTGAAACCCAAGTCGAAACCCAGTCCTGTAGCTCAGTGGTTAGAGCACTCGCTTTCGGGTCATGACCCAACTGTGCAGCGCCTTGGGACGTCCTCCTGACGTGAAAGGCGCTTTATAAATGGAATCTTGTTGTTGTTGTGAGACCTGAGTTCAATTCCAGGCAGAGGGCGAAACCTTGGGCAAGTTTCCTTATTCCACATGCCTAATAATAATCCCTCCAAAACCAAAAAAAACAGAAATAAATTGGTCATTTTCAATCTATGACTGTTTATGGGACATTGCTGTGCGCAATTGGCTGCCGCTTTCGCCCACAAATATACAGTCAATTCACTTTACAGTATATTCTCTGAAGCGCTTTGGAATGTCCTCCCGACGTAAAAAACGCTATATCAAATGCAAGGATTATTATTATTATTATACCTAGCACTCAAAAAAAAGTGAAACATTACCACCAGCAGAAAGAACCTGATACTTAAAAATATTTCAATGGTTTCAAAGGGGTAGTGAGGAAGATAAACTTCTCTTACACACATGAATTGGAAGTGAAACTTCAAGAGCAAAACATAGCGTTATTCTCCATGATAGAGGAAGTGCTCACAACACTTTTTATGAAATCTCATTTTGTTGGGGCTTTTAAGATAGCTGAAAGCTCCATAGAATTTGGTTAATTTGTGATTTGCATTAATGTTTAACAATAAGGAAATTAGTTATAACCAAATGCAATAAATATAGTATGGACAAAGTACACTACTTCTTTCGTATGACAAGAGAGGTGATTAACAATGTTCAAATAACCAATTCCAGATTGATGAGCCTGAGGGTAGCTTCAGAACTGGTTTGATGTAAATCAGAGATGCAGCTGGCAAATGATAAAGGAGGCTTCCATTTACAATGTGGTCCATAGTTTGCAAATAGTGTCCGCAGTCACATTGGGTGTTGCCTCTCACCTTCCAGAAGTGTAAGACGAGCGTGTTTCTGCCAATGCGAGGGTCTGAAATGGTTCAGTGGGGACCATTGTTTCCAAGGTAGCTTCTTTTGTGGGGGCAGTAATCAGGTGTTTGGGACATTAACATTATCCCAGCACTCTTTCCAGTGTGCCTCAGGATTGAATGAGGACGCTTGAAGAGCATTAGCTTGATCCCAAAAAGGCTTGCAAGATTTCAGGCGCATCTTCGGAATAGGTAGTATCCCTCTTAGCCCTCCAGAAACAGGATCCAAGTGCAGATTCACTAAAACAATCTGCATTTGAATACTTTCCATCTGTGAAGCAGAAGTGGTGTCAAACAGTGCAGTATGATGGTGTTCAGATAAATCTATTCTTGCTACAATATTAGGCCTGAACACTCCCGGATCTCATTTGTTTATAATATTTGTAAAACACTAGCTTTCAAAATCGATGATGTACATTAAGCCTAGTTAACAGCATGAACAAGTATAGTGAGAAAGTGTCCTGTGGTCTCTAAAATCCTTACCAACAAAACTAAAATATTTCACCAGTATTTTGCTGAGCATCACGCATGCATCCAATAATATGCAAAAAAAATGCCCTTTGAAAGGCTGAAATAGCAGAGCTACAGTTTAGTAACTGGTTTCTTTCTTTACAGCCCAGTGCTGCCTGGCTGTCTTTGTGCTTCTTATCCTGACTGGCTATTGGTACATTTCTGCTGTTTATGCTGTTTGGCTCTATCTTGACTGGGAGACACCTAATCAAGGTGGCAGAAGGTCGGAGTGGGTCAGAAACTGGACGATCTGGAGGTACTTCAGGGATTACTTTCCCATTCATGTAAGTTGGAGTATTTCGAGGCTAGCCCTGTGCTTAAGGAAGATGAAATGTAACTCTTAAGTACATGAACATTACGGTCATGAGGCAGGCTGTGCTGAATGTAAGTTTTCTTCATTTGAGTGCCTTACAAGGGAACTGATGTAAAGATGGAAATGTATAAATAGTTGAAAATTCTCACAAGTCATCAAAATCTTACATTGAGAATGCTACTTTTAATAACGAGTAGGACTGATCAGCGAAACCCAATCAGCTGATTGTGATTTGATTTAGGTTAGTAGTTTTTGTATGTTGATCAGCCTATGGTTGGTGTGTATTGTCTTAATACCCTACTTTTCTGTCCTTGTAACATGAGAGTAATTTTAGAATGAGATCTTCTAGGGTCATTTCAACGAGGGTGTTGCAACTTGGGCTGAGAAAATGCCTTTACCAAACATAAGAATATTATAAACAAGTCTAATTGGGAGTATTCAGGGCTAATATTGTAGTATCCACAACAACACCAACAAGATTACATTTGCATAGCGCCTTTCACGTCGGGAGGATGTCTCAAGGCGCTGGATAGAGTATAGCATTTCAGACCCGAGCTAGGGTCGGGGCGGGGGGAGGGAGGGGAGGGGAAGGGGGTGGCCGATGGCATGATCGAAGAGGAGGGTCTTGAGGCAGGACTTGAAGGAGGCTAAGGAGGGTTTTGATCAGAAACAGTTTGGGCAGTACTCGTTATTAAATTCCTGGGATTTCATAAACACTTGTAATAGAACAAGTTCTTTCAACATCAGACTCATAGTTCGGAGTTGAAGGGCTTGAAATGATCAGACTTGTCAAGTTTTGCTCATTGGCAATGGAAAGGAGTTTGTTTTAGTTTAATAATGAAATATATTCCGATGACTGTTTCTCTTAAAAAGGTCCTGACATTAAATGGTTTTGCAATCCCAAAAATCATGAACTCCACACCTATATTGGCAGCTGAGAGCATTAAGAGTTTCATTACATGTCGTAGGTGCAATAGAGAGGAAGGAGTGGCATTTTCTTTTGATTGAAAGTGCTGATACCTTCCAGGGAAACATTTGAAGGATTCTACACCCTGAGAGTTAGGTGGAGCTGAACTTGCAGCCATTAAAAATCGCAGGTTTATTGAAACTCAGAATCCTTAACTATTTACTGGTGTTTAGTGACTTCAGCACCTTCTTCAGAATACACAGAATCATTAGAACGCACCATTTTTGAAATATTAATATTCACAATAATTGAAGAAGAAGAAAAGCAGACCATGGGACACATTTTGCCCATATTCACCTGCCTTTCTCTCCAAGAGAAATACTTGCCATTTTAATAACATGCAGACTTTACCAGATCTTACTCTTCTGTCAGTTTATTCCAAAGGCGTATTGATTATGATACTCGCTCTTTATGTGTAACTCTAGTCATCAGTGTAATTCATATCCATTTGTCCCATAATGGCTTCCAGTACACAAAACTTTTTTTAAAAAACTTGTTCAAGGTGAAGGAATTTAGTGCTCAGATGAATAGTCAAAAGGTTTGCCAAGTTTCCACACAGTTCATAGAATGCAATGATACTAATATATATGACATGCCGATGTTTACTATTTTCAAGTTTTATTTTATTCACACCTGGTTTATAAAATGGAAGCACATTTTTGGATTAAAAAATTCCAAATGTTCTCTGCCAAGTGACACTGCAAATATGCTTTTGCTTGGCCATTTTTAAACCTTAATTAGAATGTATTTCAGCAGTACTCTTATTTTTCTACCTTGAAATATTAAATGCTGATTATGTTTCTAAAGTGTTGCATATGTTTGTAATACACATGCGTCTTTGGTGCTTGGAAATATTGATTGAATTGATTCTGATTTGTTTCCATTTTAAGTTGGAGAAAACAGCTGATCTGGATCCACGGTCCAACTACCTGTTTGGATTCCATCCTCATGGCGTCCTTGTTGCTGGAGCTTTTGGGAACTTTTGTACTGAGACCACAGGCTTTCGGAAATTGTTTCCGGGGCTGACATCCTATCTGTGTACGCTACCTTTTTGGTTCAAGATTCCCTTTTATAGGGATCACATCATGCTAGCAGGTAATTGAATCTGACTGGTCAGTTAGTAAAAGCTAAACAGTTTTCAGTAAAATATTTTTCAAATATCCAATTCAGCCCTCTTTATTATTATTATTCTGTGATCTCCTTGCTGGGGAGTGTAACATGGCGGGTAAAATAGTCAGTGTAGATGTTATGTATTATGATTGTCCTTTTCAAAAATTATATTACAGATAGTTAAAACATGTTGTCTGTTTAAATCACTCTCATAATCACCAGGAATTTATCATTCTGTTCTAGGTCTTGTCTCTTCTGCGAAGAGCAGTGCTTCTCATATTTTAAGCCGGGAGGGAGGCGGTAACGTGGCTGTTATTGTAATAGGTGGTGCTGAAGAATCTTTGGATGCGAGACCTGGTGCACTATCTTTGAATATCCTTAACAGGAAAGGATTCATTAAATTGGCTATAAAACGAGGGTATGTAGACTTTCGGTATGGTTTACACCTGAGAAATATTGTCTATGATCATATGCTAGTATATTATGGTAAGTTATCCTTCAGAATTTGCATGAATTTCAGTAAGAGCAAATACCTCACCAGCATTGGAATTTCAGCGAGAACTCCGCGCATGTGAGATTGTCTGAGTACAAACCAGTGCAGAGCTTCAATATAGCAGTGTTACAAGTCGTGTCACTCCAGTAGATACCAGTCAAACTGGTACATGCACACCCAAAGATAGTACATAATGCAAAACAAATTAATTGTATTATTCAAATGTAACAATACCAGTATCAGAATTTTAAACAAATAGATATGTATCCCAGATTGACTGAAGTAATGAAATAGGCAGGTTTGACTTGAACCCTGTTGTGCACGCTTCTGGTTTGAGTAAAATATTTAGATATTGAAAACTTAATTTATATATTCATTCTTAACTCCCTATAGAGCACATCTGGTACCAGTCTTTTCCTTTGGGGAAAATGAACTCTTTAACCAGGTAAAAAATCCCAAAGGGTCGATACTTCGGAGAGTCCAGGAAAGGCTACAGAAGATATTAGGAATTGCCCTGCCATTGTTTCATGCCAGGGGTGTCTTCCAGTACAGTTTTGGGCTGCTCCCATTTAGGAAACCTATCTACACAATAGGTAAGAAACAATACAAGAATATTGTCATACCTGAGTTATTTGTATATTGAAAACAAACTTCTAATGCTTAATTTTTAATCAATTGCATTCATTTTTAGAGCAGCTTCTTCCCCCCGTTTTGTTTCCAGTATAGTAACAGCTGATTAAATTTACATTTGAGTTATTTGGAACAGCTTTTGTTTTAAAACATTCACAGAAATCTCTCGAAGAGTACGAATTGGTTTGAAATCCTCAAACAGTGGGGGAAATCACATCAAAACGTAATGCTTAAAAATGTTTGGCTGAACCAATACAATAAAACTGTTTAGATATGTCATTTATGCTCCACTGATTCTACTGCAAAGACTTCAAAATAAAATGGCATTTTAAAGAAAATAATGAAAGTCTGGTAAATTACATAAATTGCCACTTAATAAATTGCTTTTGCCCTGCAGTGGGGAAACCCATCATTGTGAAGCAGAACCATACACCTTCAAATGAAGAGATTGAGGAGCTGCACAAAAAGTATGTTGAAGAACTAGATGATTTATTTGAAAAACACAAAGTTCAGCATGGGGTTTTGGAAAGCGATCATCTCCTTTTCACTTGATTTTTACTTTCAAACACCTGAGTTCATGTGTGAAGTAAAATTACACTCGGACTTTCCATCCTTACCAAAGGCCCCTTGAGACATAAGTTTTTTTCAAATGGACTTTTCCAGCTGTATCAATGGTGGTATTGAGGTGTAGTTAATCTGACCTGGCTAACCGGGCTCAGGTCCAAGGAAAACTGGTTCAAGAGAAACAATAGCACCTTGGATATGGTATTGTGTACCCATACTACCTTTGTACAAGGAAATGTTGATTAATTCCAGTGTAATGTACGTTTTAAAGATGAACTTCAATATAGGAATAGCTGATAAAATTTCCATTTGGGTCACAGATATTTTTTTTGGATGAGAACCAATTTGTCATTAAAAAAACATCTTAACATTCATCCATGACAGAGTGCCAACTATCCTGTTACAAACTGATTGGAAGCAACAGTAAAAATTTATACTATGGCCTATTTTGAGTGACTATTAGTTTTACTGTTGCAAACATTCTATAAACACTAACAGAACACATTCTATACTTAAGAAGAAAACAGATTGATCCTATAGTAATCCTTGATCTGATACAGCATCAAATCTCAAAGTTGTTCACAAAATTTTGTGATTATGTATTTCGTGATTATGTAAGTTTTGTGATTATGTATTTGTGGATGAACGTGCAGGTCACAACTAATAACAGCTTTGATAGTAAACGGCAGACCCCACAGCTTGCAACATTCAAGCAGCATTTAGGAGCTAAAATGGAGGTTACTGAGACTCCTTTGTTGAGCTAACAGATTAACAGATAAGATTATTTTGTTAATTGGCAATGTAGCAAAATTATCAGCAGTTTTGATAAGAATAAGTGCCTACATCTGTACTAAGTTCCCCTTGTTGTAAAGAAGGGTGAAAACAGATCAAAAGTTGACTGCATGACTGTAAATGACTATCAGGTGCAAATTCTCCTATGTTCTCCAAATACACCCTTCGCCATGGTACAATCTTTAAAATGCCTCAATAAAATTATGAATAATGAAATTTGACTTGAATTTGTAAATCACTTGAATTTAAGCAGTTTTGAAACACTATCTGTATTGTCCAAAGAGTGCCTTCCTCAAAGGCGTCATTTGTTTTCAAGAATGTATTCTTTAAAAATGTTAAAGCAACAGTGTAACTCTGAATACTATTGTTATGTTTGTATAGCTATTTTCCCTATCTATGAACATTGTCTACCTCAGTAAAACACCCAACGGTAACGAATATGATGTTATTCATCTCACTTAATAGTTGTATATGTATGTCATTTTCTTAAATAAAGCCAGAACACATTTTGCATGTTCCGGCAATTTTTCCTTCCCAAATTTGTTGTACTATCCAACACTATTTTCTCTTTCATGCCTCAATATATGACTGAATGTCCTCCTTCCCTCCAAGTATTTTACAATAAAGTTGTGAAACCAGGGAATTTGCAACAACTCTGGTTTCACAGCTTTACTGTTAACATATATATATATCACCAGCAGCTCAGGTTTAGGATTGACCTGTTAATCACCTGCAGCGTTTTTAACAATCAGACATTGTTCACACAGGGTGTGCTAAGATGGATGCAGATAAAAGAACAAATTGTCCTCGCATCAGTCTTGGTGCTTGTAAAATCTGAGTCATTTCAAATCAGATTCGCATGGATTTTCTCAGAACACATGTAAGTGCTTTTGATTGAATCTTTGGCTGTCATTTAATACTAAAACAACAGGAAGAAAAAATGTTTTGAGGGCAAAAAAGCAATTTCTCCCTATCTATTAAACTTCTTTCCTCCTTCCTCTTTGTTTTGGGCATGACACAGAAACACGGGTCATTTTGTTCTGATCAGAAATCCAGCCATGGCTTTAGGTAAACACATACAGGGACATAATTTGGCACCTGAGCACAATCACTAGATTTTGCCAATAAACAGCTTCTTTGTTCGCATTGTAACTCACAAGTTTAAACCTACCAGTACCCTGTTAATGATTCAGGAATGTTTTAATTAGAGCCAGTAATTCCAAATGTTTCTAACATCTAATATCTATGTAATTCGATGTACATAATTCCAATGTGACAATATCAGCACAGTACTTTTCCTGTTGTCAGAAAACACAGAACCCGTAGTAAAGGTAACCAGGGTTTTTTGCAAAATACCTGGTTTCACAACTTTATTGTAACATACATGGAGGCTTTCCCAGGGATACAATGTGTGACCTATTTCATGAGATGTGGCACGCTGATTATGGAAAGCATCCAAACTCAGTCCAATATTTTCTCATCCAACATCTGAATACATGTACCTTTCTCTTTAATACAAGTACAATGTGTTACAACCTGGGAAACGCCCTTTACAGAACAGGTTTCACATATCCTCCAGACATTTTTAATGTTTCATCACAGATAAGTGAATAAATTACAAGAACTTCTTTATCAGAAGTAGCGACTCTCTACCCCCTCCTCGCTCCCTCCTTCCCTTCCCTCCCCTCACCCTGACCATTTCCCCCCAATGCTCGGGCCCTGACCCAACTGTCCAGCGCCTCAGGACGTCCTCCCGACATGAAAGGCGCTCTGTAAATAGAATCTTTTTGTTGTTGTTGTTATAAACCTATTGTTCCAAAGTCCTGAGGGATGACTTTGCTGATAACGTTGCCTCTTGATTTAAAAAGATTATAACTTAAGATCCTTTCCCACCAATTTTCTGCTCTTCTCTCCTGAAGATATTTGACATTTGTTGTCCATAAAACCGATAAAAATGACAAAATGCATAAGTGAGCCAAAACTGAATAAAGCAAGTTACTTAACATATGTTCTTCTTCAAGCCACTTTGGGAAGTATGTGTTGCTTTGTAGTCACCCTGGCTGAATGTAGTGCTTGTGAATACCACGGTCTCCTGAAATCATTTGCTTATTTCCATCCTTTTTGCCCAGTTGCTCTAAGAATGCCATCTGTTAGTCTGATTCTGAGCTTCCAGATCAAAGGATAAGCATTTGACCATCAGTTGATTTCAATGAATCAGATTGCATAGTGTAATAGTAAAAGCAGGAAGGAGACTTGCTAATGGGCAACTGCACAGGCCTGCGTAGATCTGGCTCCTTTAAACTAGATTACAGTACAATACTGTAATTGTTCCTTAAAGTTTGTAGCAAATTATCATTCATTAAAGATGAGTCTTTAGATCTGAGTTTTATTTGAATTCCCAAAAGCTGCAAATTAAACTCCCTGTTTTAAGGAATTTAGTCAATGGATAGAATGTCACAGAATCTATTTGCAGCAAGCATAGTGTATCCTAAAGATAGATGACAGGCCACCGCTAAGAGTTTGGGGATCAATTCCTCCCACCAAATGTATGCCTTAATGATCCAAAGTGAAGAACACTCCATAATAAATTACTAAAATGCTAGGAACATTTTACTGTGAAGTGGCAGTGTTTCTGTATTTTGTAAGCAAACACAGCAACCAGTTTGCACACAGCAATATCCCATAAACAGCCATGATGTGAATGACCAATTTTATTGAGGGTAGTTGTTGGCCAGGACATTGGGAGAAACTCCCTTCTCCTTTCAAATAGTGCAATGTTATCTTTTAATGTCCAACTGAACTGGTAAATGGGACCACGGTTTAATGTCTCATCTGAAGCACAGCATCAACAATGTAGCTCTCCCCAGCGTATCAGCCTAGACTATAAGCTTATAGTTCTGACATGAGGCTTGAACCCACAACCTTCTGACTCAGAGATTACCAACTGGGTCAGGTTGACATTGACATTGATGTAGCTCTAAAATATCACTTTTCAGCACTTCATCCAAACGGTTATTCTTCACATGCGAGCCTAAACAGTGGATCTGAGTGTTAAGGCTAGGGTTGGGAGAGAAATATGAAATCACAGTTGTGCAAACCTTTTCCTCAGTCCATCAACACTGGGATGCCAGCAATTGTCACTGAATCATGACTATTTTTCTTTCTAGCCCAGAAAAGGTGCCGCCTGCTCCAGCTGACCTGATCTGCGCCATTGTTTTTTATAAGTGCTCAGTGACACCATGCGACATGAAGGGGGGTTATATAAATGTATGTTTTTTATGAGAGTGATTGTTCCAGAACGTCTTGGACCCGATCTGAAGCTCAATCAGCCAACAAAAATCATCACCTGCTGGGAACTGATGCATACTTTGAATTCTAATTGTTTTTACCTAATAATTTACCTTTAACTTGAAGCATTGAAGCAGGTAATGTCCCAGCCACCTATAGAATTATAACAATTTCCAATATGGATATAGTTCTAAAACAACAGTATTATTTATTTTTGAACATACCCTGTATAGTCATCTATCCTGAGAGAAATATCAAAGGGTTGGAAAAGTTGTTTTCTTGAAGCAAATTAGTAATTACAATAAAGACTTCTTTATTAGATTAATAACCTAAAAATTATTTTCCCACAGTTGGGGATCAGGGGTAATACAATCTGATCCAGTTATGTACACATAATTGGCTATTTTCATGTTTGGATGAACTTTATTGGCAATTTACAATGTGACGATTTACAATGTAAGATTGTTTTTAAAAAGCAATCTTATCTAACAGTAATAAAGCAGGACACATATTTGCTACCAATAAATCAATCTTTATCACTGAATACGACTGAGCAAGTAAGGAGAAAGCTCATAAAGCTCTACCTTGAAAATTATTTCACCCGGCCTCAATGGCCCTCATTTGATTAATACACTGGACTTACCATGGTTTAGCAGAATCCAGCCCAGAATTATAGGGGATAAATATAAATTGCAAACTTGGTGGAGATTTTCCAGCACGAGTTACTGGATAATGATCAGGCACATGAATCCCCATTGTGTGCATTACTCTTAGCAGGAAACTTTTTTTAGCTGGTGACGAAAGCAAAAATGGAAGGCGAGCTTTCAATTCTTCGCCCTGCCCCTAATAGTTCACTGGGTACTGTAACCTCTGACACATTTTAAATTATTTTTAACTATCAATATACTGGAGTCCCGTAGCTCAGTGGTTAGAGCACTCGCCTTCCAAGCGAGACACCTGGGTTCAATTCCCGGCAGGGCGAAACCTTGGGCAAGTTTCCACACGCCTAATAATAATCCCTCCAAAACAAAACAATAATTGGTCATTTTCAATCCACGACTGTTTGTGGGACACTGCTGTGCGCAATTGGCTGCCGCGTTTCGCCTACAAATACACAGTCAATTCACTTTACAGCATATTCTGTAAAGCGCTTTGAGATGTCGAGAAGATGTGAAAAGCGCTATATCAAATTCAAGGATTATTATTATTACTATACTACTCTAGACAATTTTTTTTTTTAACGTTCGTGGGAATGGAGTGTTCCATAATCCCATAATCTCAATTTTCTCCCTCCCAAAGTCAGACTTGTATCTATCAATTCAAATTCTTGTTCGTACCTGCCTCCAGTGATTTAAACTATCATCGTTTCAAATAAGTATGTGTCGACGTGACTCATTCGGTGGTATTCGTGCCTCTGAGTCAGCGGTTGTGGTTCAAGTCCCACGCTGCGGCTTTTAATCCATCGTCTTAGCAGCTCATCGCTACACTGCGGTGCTGGGGTGTTGACCTACATCAGAGTCCGGGTGTTAAAACGGGGTCTTGTCTGCCAGTTTTGAGTTGACTGGTAAAGACCCCGAGCACAACCTTGAAAGGGAAGGGAGCTTCTGGTGTCAAAATAACACCAACACAATACCTGCCCTGGTTTTTGCCGACTTGTGCGTCGCACTTTCACCCGAACCAGGCGAGCAGTATGCATTCCCCCCCCACCCACCCCCCCCCCCCGCCCCCAGGGAGAGGCCGTGCATTCCAATAAATAGCTCCGGAGTTTCCCTGTGAAGGCGGGATGCAGGCAACTCTTGTTCGGTTAGGGTTCTCGGAAAGCACGCCCGGTGATGGGTCATCATCTCCGGCCGCCCGCCCGCGCGTCAGGCACCGGCCCAGGCCGACCGGAAAAAAAAGAAGAAGAAGAAGAAATCGCTGCCCTTAAAACCTCTGCGAGCGAATCCCGGTCAAGGGTGATTCGCCCGCGCGAAAAAAAAACAACAACCCACGCCAGTCAATCCACTCTGCAGCGTAAGCGCTCGGGAGCCGGACGGCCTCGCAGCGCCGCGATCGATCGGGCAGCCGGCCGCAGCGCAACGGGAGGGCGGCGATCATTACTGATTATTGCTTATTGTTAACAAGCCCCTCCGCGAATAAATAAACGAACCAGTAAATCTGTAAACGCTACTGAAGACCCCGGGCGGGGGGCGGGGGGCGGGGGTCGGGGGGGGGGCGGTGCCTCAAGCGGACTCCGCTAACTGAAGCCCCCGCGGCACCCGGTCACCGTGAAGACGTCGCGTCCTTTCCACCGCCCCCTCCCCGTTTGTCTTCTTTATAAGCGACGCACCTTCCCCCCTCCCTCCCTCCCTCCCCCCTCCCCCCCCCCACCCCATGATATCAAGCTCACCGACAGCGAAGCCCGAAATAACCTCACCCCCCCTCCCTCCCCCCTCCCCCCCCTCCCCCCCCCCGCACCCCACCCCACCCTCTTGATTGGTGGTAATAATAATAATAATAATAATAATCCTTTCCGTTTGATATAGAGCCTTATCAGGGTCGTCGAGACAATAAAGATTAAAGCAAACTATAAAGGGCAAATTGTGTTTCGGGCCTCAGAAAACCCACCGACTGCTCACGGCCTCTCCCCCTCTCTCGGACTGTCCGGTGGGGCGGGCGGTTGGGACGACGCTTCTGGACTTACTTACTCCCCCTCCCTCCCCCCTCCCTCCCTTCACCCCCCGCGCGCGCCGCCTCTCGCTCGCGACCTCTCGACGCATGCGCCCTCGCCACCAACCGCCGCTCGGACCCCGCCCGCTTTCGAGTCGAGTCGAGTAGGTTCTCGGCGGCGGGCGGCGGGCGCAGGCGCAGTGAGTGGCGCGAGCAGCAGCAGCGGCGGCGGCGGGAGGGAGGGAGGGGGCGGGGTTAGGGGGGGGGCGGGGCCACGGGGGACTGAGCGCGGAGCAGCTTCGGGGGCAGTCAGACAGACAGACAGACTGACTGACTGACTGACTGACACCCACCAGACAGACAGACAGACAGACAGAGCGAGCGGGTGAGTCTGTACCGGGGGCCCTGTGGCTAACATTCAACATCCGCCCCCAAACCGCCACCACATACACATACACACACACACACACAGTGGCCTCAAGAGACAACCCGCGGCCCTCACACTCAAGGCCGCGCCAGAGATTGCTTTGCTTTCGGATTCCCAGGTGTGTGTGTGTGTGTGTGTGTTTGTGTTTTCTTTTTTCCTTCTTTCTTTCTCTTCTTTCTCTCTCTCTCTTCTTTCTCTCTCTCTCTCTTCTTTCTCTCTCTCTCTCTTTCTCTTTCTCTCTCTCCACTTCTCGGGCGCCGCGCAGGATTGGTGGGTGTCATTAAGGGCCACACACACAACACACGCACGTGATGATGATGATGATGATGATGATGACTATTATTATTATTAATAATAATAACTGGGTGTTGTGTTGGCTATTGTTGTGAGGGCGTTATTCTTCACCAGGGATTGAGTGATTGAGTGATTGATTGACTCGCAGCACCCAACCCACGGTTTCTTGCTGCCCCGTCTAATTCACAATTCCGCAGCGTTATTAACTTCACCATTTGGAGGAGGTTACGGCGTTGGGGTTGAACGAGGGTGAGAGGGGAGGTAACGAGACGGGAAGGATGATAAAGGCGCCGTTCGCACTGTCGCCGCCTTAGGGATAAATAAGGATGACCATCGTCCTCGCACTTGATCGCAGCGCCCGGGCGTCCCCGTAGCTCAGAGGTCTGGAGCGCTCGCCTCGGGAAGCGAGAGAGCTGGCTGGGTCAGGGCGAAACGTTGGGCAAGTTTCCTCACTCCACTCGCCTCCCGTTTACCTATCAGTATCAGTATTACCTATCGGTAACAATCAGTGGTTGTTGGTTGATTGGGGGATCGCATTTCGCGGGGGCAATAGCTCCTTTGAAAAAGAATCGATAATGATAAATCGGGCACTCAATCAATCCGCGACTGTTTGTGGGACACTGCGGTGTGCAGTCGGTTGCTGTGTTTCGTCCACAAAATATACAGCCAATTCACTTTGCAGTATATTCTGTGAAGTGCTACATCAAATGCAAGGATTATTATTATCACGCCTTCGAGACATCTCAAAGCACTTCACAGAATATACTGTAAAGTGAATTGATTACATTTTGTGGGTGACAGTTCCGTCACTGCCTTATATAGTTGACTAGAATAATTGACCTATAACCAGATTGAAATTACGACAATGTCGGTTCTTGTTCCCTGCAACGTGTCACTCACGGAGCCCCCAATGAATGAGTTGGAAGCTTCATTGTGTTACAAGTTTTATAATGTACAGTACTGCAATTTGGCAACTGGATTTGAATGACAACTGGATTCGATGAGGAAGTGGTCATGATTATCATCTGTTTGACAGATTTGATTCATATTTAAATGAGCATATCTTGAACAGGGGAAGTATGCCTGGATTGTTATAATTTTAGAATATTTGTCTGATAAGTGGCTGGGCCTTTGCATGTAAAAAGCAGGCAACTGATTTAAGATTGCTTTCATTAAAGATAAAATAAATAATTATTATGATGCAAAGTGACCACAAATCTACAGCAGTTCTTCATCCAGACGTTGTGCGCTAGTTAGCATTTCTCTTTACTTTATCCACTGGCTTCCCATCACAAAGTACCATATTGTCTGAACTCAAATATTCAATGGTAGTTTGTGGAACACGTTTGCATGTCATCTGCAGTCTACAATACATTGGCCCATTGATTTTGGTTTGCAAGATACTTGCAGATGTTTGACAGTGAGTTAAGCTAATGAAAAGCCTGTAAACATTGTCAACTGTGAAATTTTGTTAGATTAAGGATATACTGTATGAAATAAATTACTTTGTTTAAAAGCTGGTTCGTGCCAGGTCAAACAGTAGATTCACTGTAATTTCGTGTCTTTCTTTCCAGCAATAGGAAGCAATGAACTGCTAATAACAGAAAGATCAATCATAGGATCCATAGAGGAAGTATTAAAAACTATGAAATATGTAATTTCAATGGAACTATTGATTTTTTTTAATTCTCTGTGCCCTTGTGAATTCACTGACCTCACTTGCCTTATTTGAAATTAACAGCTCTGTGTGTACCAAGTACACAAGTACTAATTGTTAGAGCACTCAGAGTAATCCTTGAGCAAGACATTACTCAGCATTAAAGAATGACAAAATATTTGTGAATAGCACAAAGTAAGTTAGTTTCATTACCAGGCATTTCCTGTAATGGTTTGCATTTCTTACACTTATACTTGAGGCTGAAGATTTAGATGTTAAAATTTAAATCAGAAATAGTTATCCTCACTGGTCCTGTGTAAGGTTTTACCTGCAGACTTTTTACCGAGTATTTTTCTCAGTTAAATTATCGGTACATTAAACTGTGTACTCTTCATATTTAATTCAGTTATCACAAGAGAGATGCAAATGAAGAAAGCAGTTTGTAACATTTGATTTTATCTGTCCAAAACTATTTCTTAAGTAATTCCAGTGGCTTGGTATCTACTATTCTTCAAAGAAATTTGTGCCAGCTGTTGATTACCCTTTGTGTAAAAAAAAAGTTGGCAAATTCTGTCTGAAAGCTGAAAAAAATGGTTGCAGTAGTGTGCATGGTTGACATTGGTGCCTTAGTTGTAAAGCTTTCTTATAGGTATTGAGAAGGGTTTGGGGATGTGCAGCAAGCCAGAGTTAACTGATTGAGGGAGGAAGTAGAGGAGTGGGGTAAGAGAAGACACTAAGCTTTTACAGCAGGTTCCTGATATTTATTTGTGACGTTGTCCCCAATGATAGTGTAGCAACATTGGTGTGTTCTGAACTCCTGGGAGTACTTCCAAACAAAATCACCTGAAAAAGTAAAATGTTATTGACAACAACAACTTGCATTTATATATCGCCCCTCATGCAGGGTAGTGTCCCGGAGCGCTTGGCAGTGGTGGAGTGGAAGCCAGGGGAGGTGACATGGGGAGTTTCATAGCGACAAGCGTCTTTGTTGCTTTCAATAGCTCATAGAACTTTAAAACATTATTTTTGGACGAGGCCATTACCTCTTGATCCATGTCACCCCCATGCCTTGCATTCATTTTAAGAAACATGTCCCTTTCCCAAACAATTTATGAACCGATAAATTGGTCATATTTCTGACAAGACAAGCTGAGAAGCTTTATTCAGGTTTGGCCACCCCAAGTATGCTGCGAAAGATATACTGCAAAAGAAAAGGGACAGAAAAGAGCAACAGGATTGATTCCAACGGTAAAAGAGATATTCAATGAAGAGAGAAATGAGAAACTTTAACCTTAAAGTCTAGAAAGGGGACAATTAATGGGATACCTCATTGAAGTATATAAAAGATTAAGCAGTGTAGATAAGATCAGTCCAAATTTAAAAATGGAACCTAGGGATATGAAGGACAGTTGATTAAAAAGGGAACAAAATGCGAAATACTGCAAATGCTGAAATTCTGAAACAAAAACAGAAGTTGCTGGGAACACTCAGCAGGTCAGGCAGCCTCTATGGAGCATCTATCCATGTTCTGATGAAGGGTCGTGGACCCGAAATGTTAACTCACTTTCCTTTCTCCATAGATGCTGCCTGACATGCTGAGTATTCCCAGCGACTTCTGCTTTTGATTAAAGAGTAAGTTTGGAACAAATATCAGTAACTGGGAAAACATTGTTATTCCATAAAGCAGTATTATGGACCCACAATGTGAGCACTTGAATAAGAGGCCATTGCAAATTCCGAGAGCCTGTACTGTGCACTGCCTAGTAGCATATTGGCATCTACTGTATATTCATGTTTTTGTAGATTAGTTCTCGGACTGCGATGAATTGATTAAATGATGTTCAGAATGGCTCAAATTCTGTTTTGCAGAGAGCTGTTAGTCCAGGTCTTCCACTGGACTATATTAGTGCAACTACACCCAACTTCCAGTGCTGACTAATAAGCTGATAAGTTTTCTAATAAGCTTTCCATGATAAAAAGAGGCCAATTTCCAGATCATCATGTTGTCTTTGATATCTCTTCCTGAATGTTGTTCCTTTGTGCAGGAAGTGATATTAGCAACTATTCTGTTGAGCAAGATGAGGGAAGTGGCATCAATGGAGAACTGACAACTTGAAGGCAACCATTTCTTTTTGCCTAGCTTATAACATGGCCACTAAGATTTTGGACCCAGCTGACAAGATTGACGTTGTTTCCCTGTACTATACATATTTGCACTGAGATGATGAAGGAGATTTGTTTTCCTTCTCATGCCTATTTATCAGAGCAGTCCAAGGTGCAGTACCTCATTGTGTTTCCATCTGTAATCTTACAATGCCTAAATGTACTTGTTTCATCACCTTAATTCTTGTAGAGTCTCTGCCCAAGTGGTTCCATATTACTGATGCCTTCCATTTTTTTAATGACTTCTGTTGTGATAACCATAGGAATTCTGCAGCTGCATCCTGAATGTAATGTCAGGGGAATGAAAGTATAAACAATGCTTTTGTTCATATTACTCAATCACAACATGGCGCCATATCTGTAAATTTGAGCTTCCCCCAACATCTTCCTGTTTTAGATATTTGCAAAATTTCCCTTTTGAGAGAAATTTACATTTTTTTCTATACTGTTTATTCTACGAGTCAGAAGTTCTTATCTTTTTTGTTGATTTCATTTTTGCAATTTTTAAATTTGTGCCATTTGCAGTCATTTGATCAATTAAGAGTTTCCTATTTATCTACTTCTCATTATTTTAAAACCAGATCCTTTTAACCTCTCCATTTCAGAAACCATCCCATAAGTACAGACATTATTGAAAATGAGTTCAAAGGGTCATCTTTCACGTTAATAATAATAATAATAATAATAATCCTTGCATTTGATATAGCGCTTTTCACGTCGGGAGGACGTCCCAAAGCGCTTCACAGAACACACTGTAAAGTGAATTGACTGTATATTTGTGGGCGAACGCGGCAGCCAATTGCGCACAGCAATGTCTCACAAACAGTCGTAGATTGAAAATGACCAATTTATTATTGTTTTTGGTTTTTGGAGGGATTATTATTAGGCTCTGTGTGGAGTAAGGAAACTTGCCCAAGGTTTCGCCCTCTGCCTGGAATTGAACTCAGGTCTCTCGCTTGCAAAGCGAGTGCTCTAACCACTGAGCTACAGGACTCCACGTTGGAAGGATGTCTCAAAGTGTTTATAAAGTTAATTATAAGTTGTTCTTATAAACTCAAATTGAAGTTACAAGTTGCTTCATGGCAATATGTCTACAAGCTAGTGGGTAGCTCATAATTTACTTGACCTAAACAGAAGAATGCTGATGCGGTTTATGTTGATCTTAAATTGGTGTGTTTTGCATATCTTGTATCGCAACAGTAAATATAGTGGAACAAGAGTGACTTCCATTATGTCTGTGTTGGGTTCTCATTCTTCGATGGAAGTGTTTTAACACAAGTCGCTGTGCGTGAAATAGCTCCCATAAGAGGTTACGTGCTGTCAAGTTACTTGAGATGATGAAAGACAGAACAAATGTACAATGTGCATATCCGGAGGCAGTCATTCGAAATCAGTCCAAACTACAAAGAGTAGTTTGCACCATGCAATTTAGAGGCAACAAAATAAAACTTAAGTAAAAAATAACCACTGTTTTTGTGAGGCCTATTCTGTTGAGCAGCATTTTATTGCACTGAGGTGGGAGCATCATTACCTACAGCACAATGGGAGCTGACAGTGAGCACCGGTGCAGCCATGAGGAGGAACTATGAGGTTCAGAAGCTGTAACAAACCAACTAAGCACTGATTGGTTGTCCCTATAGTAACTGATGGTACAAAGCCTTACCCCAGACTTCTGGGTTTAACTCAGTACAGTATTTATGAGATCTGATAACATGAGGCAGAATACGACTTTCATCTGGAGGTAGTGTTTAGCTATTCATATTGGAGTCCAAGTCCAATATCCCCCCTTTAGGTGGAGTTGAAGAGATTTATGTTTTTCCTTTGTTAACGTAATGCATTTCGTGATGTGGAAGAGGCTTGCTAAGGATTACTTGTGATAAATTTATATTGAAGGTTTCAAGAAAAACTCGGCATGAAACTCGCCGAGACATTCGCTGAAGATCGTTTTACGCACAAAGCGTATGTGGTGTTGAACATTGATGCTGCAGTCAGTGCCTGGCAGCTGTGGCAAACATGCTTACAGCTCACCCCAGAAGCATTCAATTTAAAATCAACCATTTGGGCTTCAAATTGAATTGCAAACTGTAAATCTTTTTTTAAAATACAAAAATACACAGTTACTAAACAGATTAGTAACTGATTCTGATCTGTGCTACTGAAATGTTGAAAACATTTGCTGTTTGAATTAAATACAGTAAGCTACTGTTAACTTGAGCGTAGGTTAACTTGTCACTATCACTTAAGTCAACCATGCTGTCAATATAATGGAGTGATGAGTTACCAGTTTACTGTAGTTTTTCCCCTTGGTGATTGCCACAGATATCATTAATGATGCTGTGTTACTTTTTATGGCAGTTCTTTGGTAAATTCGTCCTGTCTTAATATTGCAGCATTACAACTACTAGAACTTGCAGTTAGTTAGCACCCCTCACGCAGGGTAGAGTTCCAGAGTGCTTTAAGTCCATTGATGTGTGATTCTTGTATCCTGCAAGACATGGCGTGATTAGAAAATGGAAATAAAGAACAATTTCACTTCCAGCAGTGATTTAGAAAGGGAAGTATAAATAATTTGAGAGAGGAAATTTAATTGATTTGCAGTTGCATATTGGGAGCGAAGTGCGCAAAGTTATCTGGAGAGTTAGTTACCTGAATGTTGATTTGTTTGCGCATGTTGTCTTAATTGCTTTGAAAAGCACAGTATAATCAAATAGAGCTTTGTTGTTCTCTGATCTCATTTCATTGTTTTAATGTCTCTTTGAAGGATTGGATATCCTATCTTTGAATGATCTATAAAAGATTAGGAAAGCTCTTTTAACATCAAAAGATCTAGAAGCATCCCAATATTTGATACCTCTTTTGAGTGACTGCAAATCAAATTTAAAATCTAATTTTAGAGCTAGTTATTCTAAAGCTGATTTTTTATAAAAAAAATAGTTATTACACCATGTATTGTAGTAATTGAGCATTTTTAAAATTAGAGCAGTGTTATTAATGTTAGAAAATTGAATAATTTTTTGTTGCCAATTAGCAGAATTGAGTAGTATGCAAGTTCTGGAGGGGAGCAAAACAATACAGATGAGGCTGAGTGCAATGTTTAACTCTGGCTTTGGCATATTTTAACATTTTAAATTTTTCATCCTTTAGGTGCAGAAGTGGAGTGATATTGGTCCTTTAGCACCACAAGATTTCCGACATTTTGGACTTCAGATTTCCAGCTGCAAAGCTTTCTTCTTCTGCCAAAATGAAATTGAAGCACAGCATTAATCCTTTTGTTGCATATTTTGTGCGTTTTTGGACTGTGTTTTACAATTTATTTTTCCTGCCATGGTACCTTCTTGCAGGTATGCGTGGCAAAAGAACGATCATTAGAGCAAGATCAACCACTAATCATCCTTCCGGCCCATACAGATGTGTGGAAAACTTTAATTGTTTGATGGCAAGTCTGTATCCTGAAGCAGATTCCCTGGATAAAATTTTTCAATGTGCCATCGATGGCTTTAAGAAGAGAGACTGTTTAGGCACACGTGAAATTCTTAGCGAGGAGGAGGAGATTCAACCAAATGGAAAGGTCTTCAAAAAGGTAATTTATGTTCTTCGCATTGTGAGTTTTACAGTACTATGTGATTATTATTATTTCATGGCGTCTGAGGATTTAGATTGTAATTTTAATTTTGTAATTGATGCAACATGTAAGATACTGAATTCTACTCACAGATGTAAAATGGCCTTAGCAAATGACCATTGTCAATCAACTTAACATTAATTATGACCTGCCTATGCAAATCACAAATATTACATGATTTCCAGTCACAAATAATGTTGATTAACTTTAGTAATACAGTATTAGCTGTTGCAAGCAATTCAGCCCAATTGAATCATCTTTTGCACTGCCTTTCTGTACCACATTCTCATTTTCAAACCTGACATTTCAAAATACTTCAGGTACAATTCCTTGTGTGTATTCGCTAAATTATAATTGGAGCAAACATCTAACCCAGAGAAGTCGTAAACAGATTTTTGTCAAATACTTGAACTGCTCCACTGGTTGTGCTTATGCACTTCACAATGAATGCCATAGCTGAATTGCACACCTCAGCCAAGTGATGGGTATCCCAAGTTTCTCCATCCCATGTACATCCATTTTGGTATGTTCCATCTGCATTAGTCCAGTTTTTTTTCCTGTGAAGTTGGGCCATCTTTATGTATCTTTTGACCAAGGTAGTTGAGCAGTCACCTGAGATCTGTAGGGATCTCATATATCCAGAAATTTGCTTTGGTACACATGGTGGGATTAGATGGTTTATTTGCACCACATCAGCTATCCTATTTGCAAATGCTTTGCATAATGCATTCCATGTCAGTAAAGCATCAAAGTTTGGTCTTGTTAGTATCTGATGTGCAGAAGTGTGTAGATGTGTGTTAGAGCTAGTTCTTAAACCTCTCAAATATATAAGTCTTTCTGATGCAAATTATCTTGATGATGACACTTAGAAGTTCTTCAGAGAAGACAGTATAATCTTACTGTGTAGCAAAATTTGGCACTTGCATCTTTTAAAATTCTCTCATTAAATACCAACTTTTTAAGCAGGTATTTTTAAGTCAAATCATGCATTGTGCAATCATTGACATTTTAAGATAAAGGGAGTTTTTTTGGTTGTAAAACTCCTTATCGAAGGAATTCTTGAGTTTCCATTGTCCTGTTGAAACCTATCTTCTGTTGCAACCTATCCTGAATCATCTACTTTTCTAGTCACTAAAATTATGTCCAGTAATCTTTGTGTTTTTTTTACTCTTCTAGCCTAGGGCATCTTTTTTGGCATCTTTTTATAGGAACACAAAACTGAGTTATTACCTGAGTTCTTTGTGGCCAGTGACTCACTACATACCATTAACCAGTCACAGTAGTAACATTCTAATACCTTTTCATTGAGGGCCATATGGTCTATTTACGAACCCTCTGTATAGTTTGGTAACTTAGAACTTTATAGTTACGACTCTGCCTTGAAAACCCATGGGAATGAGCAAGTATTAAATTCACAATCTTTTATGCCCCTTATTAACACTGGTAATGGGTGCATCATATTCACACAATTAGGTGCTAGATGATTATGTACCTGCAGGATTCAATACAAAGAATGAACAAATTAAACTATTTTGCTGAATTAATTTGGCTGATGTATGAAAATACGTAACGTAAGCAATCTTATTGCTATAAAGTGCCTGAATATGGCAAATTTATAGGAGTACTCAGAGAAGGAGAGGTCATTCCAAGCATGATTTTATTCCCATTGTGTAATAATTCTTCACACTGGAGTTTGATACCTTCTCATTTCTGAAAATAGAGATTGGCACTAGTTTAAGTAGGAATATTAATTAATGTATATTACATTTTAGTAAAAGGAAGGTAAAAATATAAGTTTCCTGTCCTACAGGACAGGTACTTTTTTTTACCACTGTTTTCTGACCCTTCACATTGTAGAATTCTTCAGATGGGAGTCATCAGGACCGAGATTCGTTCATTATTTCAGAGAAAGTAAGTGTAACTGCAACCAATCTCTTAGAATATTCCAGTTATTTTGGTAACTATTTAATATTAATTTTATTCAATATTCACTTTAATATATTCAACACAAGTGCAGGTATCCAACATGTGGAATAGATATATTCTTTATTTTGTCACTTCTTTTAAACTAAGGTATTAGAATGTTTTCCTACTGAACAATCTTTTTACACAAGTTTTTCATTCCCAACTCAAAATATTATGTTTGAATAATTTCTCCGAAGGCTAGTTTAAATCTCTAGGTGTGGGACTCATCACTTTGCTCTTTATAATATTGTGGCCTTACCAATAATAATGAAATGCTTCCTGCATTAGTTCTCCATGTGGCAGATCAGACAAGTCTTCTTCCTAATGCTGCTTAGTGTTTTATATGTGTTCATTATTACTGATATATACATTATTTGCAGATCTATTCCATTTTTTTCTAGTTTTCTCCTTTACCTAAACATGTAGGGATCCCACATTTTGGGATAAATTACAGGATCTTACAATGAGTTAAATTTTGCAAAAGGTTAGTAAATTATTGGATCTATATTCTTTAATTGATTATTAGGTATAAGATTATAAGGAAGCTCTCTCTCTCTTCAAAGCTATGTGGTAAAATTGGGTGCTTTCATGCAAACGAGCGGCTCTGGCATTTAATATTGCACCAATTCAAGTGGAACAATAAAAGCTATTATGTTTTACCCCGCGCCCCAAAGAAAACTTTCATCCGCCACTGAGGTCCTTCATTTTGTACCTTAGTGCTCAAAGAATTAAGTCAGGAAGTCCTGAGAGGAGAGGTTACTTGAGATAGAAAGATTAGCCACTACTGTCTTAAGGCAGCGATACAGTTGCTGTTTCTACATTTTATATTGTGTGACTTATAGATTCAATGCTGAACACTGGAGGGCAGTATTGATGCTCCACTGGACACAGGAACAATACAAGCCTATTACACAGCTACCTTGTTCCAGTGTGTGCCTTGCAGCAATAATGATTGAGCTCATGTGATCATCGTATCCCAGCACGAAATAAATCTGGTTCTAAAGCGATTAGGCTGTGGGAAAGAGTATTACTAAATTTTGCAATATGGTTAAGCACGCTGTAATTTTACAGCCTGTGGATTTCTCGAGAACGTTGTTGGTCGGAAAGCTACCTTTTGTAAAAGTTGTGATAATTTCCCTATTATCTTAAAAAAACAGAAAAATATCATCAAGACTTAATAGACATTGTTGTCATGGTATCATGACTCTTTGGTCACCATGTAGAACTTCAAACACAAAATAGCTGATTAGTTGCTAAATTAGGATAATGGATCTAATAATCAGGACTGATGTACTTTTTCAGCAAACATTAGGTTAAATTTTGTGAAATGTGTGTCTCCGGTTAGTTGTCTCTACATACTTCTTGCCCTGGTACGTAATGTCTTTTCATAAAAAGCTTTGATATGATTCAGTTATACTTAAGTGATTTGTTTGCAGTTGGAGCTGCCTGGACAGTTTGTCCTGAAGAGAAGGTAATATGCCAGTAATTGAAGATTTTAAAATTTTTAATGGGTTGACTAACTATGCAAGTGGGTCTTTATATGTGCTTGAACTAAGCCAGAATCCTTTCAGCTTGGTTATAGAACTCTGCTACCTTCAGACAAATCTGTTGTGCCTGATATATGTGATGCAGTTCCATTCCTTGAATTTCACTTCCAGCAGATGTCAGCCTGGTTCAGTTGGTAGCTTCTTCCCGTAAGTTTAAGACCCGCATCTCACTTTGAGTCTGCTAGTCTAGGCTGCCACTCCAATGTAGGGAATGCTGCGTGCTTCAGATAAGAGATTAAATTGAGCTTCTGGATAGACATTAAAGATCCCATGGCACTATTCAAAAAGAGAAGGATGTTTCTCCCAGTGTCCTAGCCATCAATCCTCCAGGTAAAATTAGTCATGGAGGTTTGTGGGATATTGCTATGTTCAATTTGGCTGCCTCATATACTTACATATACAGTTTACAGAATCTTTGTGAAAAACCTTGAGATGTTTTTGAAGTTATAGGTGCTGTATCAAATGCAAGGATTATTTATTAAATGGTGAGCTTGATGCTTTTAATTCACTTATTATGATAACATGGTCTTATTTGTTCATGTACTCAATGAGATTTTGACTTTCTGTGAAAGTTGTACTTGCCTGTGTATGTGCAGAGGTGAGTACGTGGCCATTTTAAGTAGACCCTACAATCTACATTATGTTGTGGGTTTGCTGGACCAATGCACAAATTAGACTTGCTCCATTAATATTTTCAATGTGTTTTGTGGTATTATTGATATCTGGGATCATCTTCCACTGCATTGTCAGAACTGATGTACTGCAGTGTTGATGAAGTGCAATTCCATTGTCAGATTACTCACAACTATAACAGGATATACAAACCAAATTTACACAGATGCCGCCCTCAGTTAATGCAAAAATCTGGTTAATGCCAAGCCTATTAGGCTTGAACGTTATGAAATAAACCATTAGAACCATGAAACATTTTTCTGTGTGCGTTGGGCTGGGGGTGGGGGGAGCCGGGTTGAGGGCTTATAAGTTTAAATTGTAATTATTTGTCTTATTTTAATGTTTTTTTCCTATCTAGTTGATAATGGGGAATTACAAATGGCTCTCCTATGAAGAAGTGTATCGACGAGTTTTACATTTTGGTAGTGGGCTAGCAGTGTTGGGCCAGCAGTCCAAATCCAACATAGCCATCTTCTGCGAAACTAGAGCCGAATGGATGATCACAGCACAGGCCTGCTTCATGTACAATTTTCCTCGTAAGTGAAATATTGCCTTGGTTCAAACCCAACGAAGTTGCTTGAATGGGGGAATGTTGAGCATTATTTCAGAAAATGATGACTATATGTGAGAAGTTACAGAATCTCATTGCCAACAAAAGTATTTTGGCTAGATAAATACTATTTCTGTCAACCTGGCTCAGTTGGTAACACTCTTGATTGAGTCAGAAGGTTGTGGGTTTAAATCCCACTTTCAGACTCCTTGGAGTGCAAGTTTTTGTAGTTGTTGCTGGCAAATGCTGCATTATTGGAGGTGTTGGATTAGATGTAAAATCGATGTTCTCTCTGCCTGTTCAGTTGGATGTTAATTATCTCATGACACTATTCAAAAAGAGAAGGGTGTCCTAACCAATAATCCACCAGGTTTTTAAAAATGGTCATTTACTTCATGGCTTTTGCGGGATATTGCTGTGTGAACATTGGCTGCTGCTTTGACCTACAAATGTATAGTCACTGCACTTTACAGAAAACCTCTGAGCATTTTGAGATGTTTGGATGAAATGAGTTGCTATGTCAAATGCAGGGATTATTATTTTTAAAATTTGTAGTTAAATTATTTATAGAAAGTTATCCATTGGGGCACTTGATCTGTAGTAAAATAGAGATTATAGGTTGGATGTAGCAGTCTAATCTGTTTTCAAGAAGTTAATCTATAGACTCTTCATATTCGAGCTAGAAATGAGTAAAGTTTACTAAAAAAACAAATTCTCTTTCTCCACCCCTGTTTTTTTTACCCCCAATGTCTGGTTTTCCATGCTGCAAAACTTATAACTGTCTTTGCTCAGTATGCTGCTTCAAACGTGGCTGAGTGCATTGCAACCCTTGTAATGGCCTCAGCCAGGGTTGATTTTACAACAGAACAGTCATCTGAAGTTTATACTCCACGGAAGATTGCCATGAGCTAAAACACGTATCCATCCAGCCTTTCCTGAGAAAGTGTGAGGTGTCTCGACTCCGAGCTGATGACTTGCAGGTCAAGGGAGGTAGTTAATGAATTACATCTGCCCGCAGCTGGCTTTCAGTTCTCTCCATGACGTCAATACAGTGTTGTAAAGAATAAAAAATACTTTTAACTCTTTAAATCTACTTAAATAAAATTCAANTTTTTTTGCATTTTTAAAAAAAAGACTATTCATCTTTTTGGTGCCCTTCTGTTAAATATGTTAAATATGATTTACAACACATTTCTTTTGAGTTAAGTATTTTTTGTTTGTGAATCCAGTTAAGTTGTTCTTATATTGTTTCATGGTCGAAAGGTCACTGGACTGGGTGGTGAGAGCTCGTGGGAATGAAGACAGTCGTTTTCTTGCATCCTGCACCCGCCAAAATAAAAGCATCAATGATTTATCTCTGAGTCCAAGGCTGTATAACAGGAAATGATTGCTGTCAGATGTCATTTTCTCATACTGCTTAAAGACTGACTCTACCATGTTAGAAAATAAGTTTTATAAAACACTCTGGGTCGCCTGAATGCGCCAGCCTACTAAACTGAGTGTCCTTTATGAACTTAGCTGGCTCCCAGTGGATTTTGTTTCTCCAGCTTTTGACCTTATGACCCAAAATACTTCAATATTGTCAGCATGAGTCCATGATCGGAGCAGCAAGAGATGCCTAAATTGAAGCTGTGATTACTCACTATAATTTTTTTTACACACAGTATTGTGTTCGGTAACAATTGCAGTTACTAAAAAGATCTAAGTTTAAATGCAATTGCATTTCCATAGTTGTGGTAAATTGTTTAACCAAACCAGATCTAACTATATTGTGCTGATAATAACAATAAATATAATACCTCTGAGATGCTAAATATTAACTGGGCAGCAAAGTTAGGGTAACCTCAAATGTATGTGACCATAGTGAGTAGAAAATATAATATTGAACTTCAAACTTCCTAACCATTTATGCCATGCTTCATCTATTTAAGAGAGGCAGGAAATTGTGGGGGGATTTTGTTTTGTTCAAATTAAACATTTTAATTTGTCTGTTCTAGAAATAGGCCTACCTGCCCTCAGAACACCCCCATCCTTCCCTGGTGGTGTTGCTGCATCTGTACCTCCTAACTCTTGCTTCAATTTGAGTATTAGATCACATCTAATATAGTTAATTTGTGAAGTTCAAAAATTTGGAAATTAGAAATCCACTGCAGGATTTCAAATTAGGATCTGAAAGTCAAACATAGGTTAACATTTTGATATCATGCCATGATAAATATATTTTGATTATGTATCTGGCTAAGTACGTGGAGGCCTTCTCCAATCTGGACCACGTATGCTTTGCTGCTCTTCCAGTTGTCTTTGCTGAGTCACACAGAACTAATTGCCACATAATAATTTAAATAGTAACCCTTCATTCGTTTACAGCTCCCACCTTTCATGTCAGGAGGACATTACACAGCTTCTCACAGGATGCACTGTAAAGCGTAGTGGCTGTATTTTTATAGGCAAAAGTTCATAAGGAGTGATATGTATAGGCAAAAAATCAGTGTAAATTGATTTATGTAGGAAAACAAGCAACCTCTGTATTCATCTTGATTGTGTAGATGTGTTACAAAAAATCATTTCTAAATGCTACTTTATTTACAGTCATTCAATTATGGATTAGAAAGCTTCTGCCAAATATACTGACCTTGAGTGCTACAGAATTTAATGGCTGAATTCAGTACATAAACTAGAAATACAAGTAGAAGTGGAAGCTACTGCAGTCCGATCTACTGAACACCAGCTTCCTCTCTTGTCCAGTTTCGCTAATTGTAAAAGTAACTTTTCTGGTTCAAGACACTTAATGTAGTTAGTGGCTGGGGAGAAAATAAAAATGACTGATGAAACTACAAAATGTACTTGCATGTACTTCCACCCCCCGACACCTTTTTCATGTTCTCATCTTCTCAATTGATGAGCACTTTCGCATTTAATAGTGGTGCAGTTCTTCATTGGTGATGTGTGTAGCATCTGAAAGATACTAAAATACTGTATATCAGCTAAGTTTCTTCTGCAATGTTCTCTTGTTAGTAAAATCATACTTTTTAAAAAAAAATCCTCAGAGACCATCTCTTCTCTGTATCGATGCCAAATTTTACTGGGAAGTCTGGTACATTCAGTTCTTGTAAAGTACTATGCAAACTAAAGCCATGAATGTTCATTTTTATTTCCATCAATGAAATATGGGGTGCTGCGACAGTTTATAGTAGACTTGTGGCTTTCAGAATCAGAAGCAAAGTGCAATAAGTAGCATGTATAGTTATAAAAGCATGAAATACTTTTGGTGAGGAAGTCATATTGTCAGCTAACATTTCAATGGTTGATAGNTTTTTCTTCATTTCCACAGTAGGAATCTTTATTAACTGAAGGAGCTCTTACTTGTGTTATGAGATTGTATCATTCATGCAATGACATTTTGGGCACTGGTTATTTTATTCCTAATAATGATAATTGACTTTGAATGCTAATTGCAGTGCAGAATTGATGCATCATCTACACGTTTTGCTGAGCAATACTTCTGTGACATTGCATTCAAAAAAAAACATAATTGCAGTATTGGTTGGATTGAACAGTATTTGAAATTGTTTAGCAATAATGATCATTGCTCTATTTGTTGTTTTTTGCTGTTAATAGTCTTTGTGCTACTAGTTAGATTATTGTCTAAAATATTTAACTATGCTATACTAACTCCTAGGAGTGTGCACCAAACTGACTAACAAAGTGAGAATTTTAGAGATGACTTTCATTTGATATCATTTTATTATAACTGCTAGAAATTTAAGTATAATGTTTATTGCAGGATTCAATACCTTAGTTATAATAACCTAATGTAAACCTTACAATAGATTTATTTATAATGCTTATATTGAAAAAAATTATAAAGGAAGAGAATGTTCCCAAGCTTAATTTTTATGAGGTTCTTTTTGTTCTTTTATAAACACAGTGTTCTATCTGTGGACATGGTGCATCTGAATACCTTATCAAGGAGGGAGGAGAATCTTTCATATTGTGTATGAAATTTAATTATCTCAGGGTCTAAGGCTCATCTAAAATAGTATGAAGGATGTCTCAAATTGTTTCATAGGATTCACTGTAAAGCATAGTGCCTATAACATTCAGAGGACTTTTCTGACTTGTGAAATGAATTAATTTTGTCAAAATTGTGCTCAATAATTTTCTTTTTCTTTTTCAGTTGTTACCCTATATGCAACTTTGGGAGGTAATGCAATTGCACATGGTTTAAATGAAACGCAAATTACTCACATTATCACCAGCAAGAAACTCCTGCAAACCAAACTGAAGGTAGGTCACTGGATATATTGTGTTTTATAACACACATTGCTGTTAAAGAGCTGGTTGCCCGCAAATAATTTAACATGCCTTGCACTTCAACTTCAAACTGTGCATACCTTGTCCAAACTCCCTTTTCCTGACAATCTGGAATCTAATGAAAACCACAAGATCACATATTTCATATCAGATTCATACTGGAAATGTGGCAATTTGGCACCTTATTTTCACCAAATCAGTTTATAAACTGGATATGGATCAGCTTGTTCCCATCCATGTTCTTATTTAACAACGCTTGTACTAAAACATCAACAATATCGCTGTTTTGTAGATTTCTAGGTTACTGATTTGTACTATATAAATAATGATTAAGTTCTTTGGTAGTCTTTTGATAATTTTCGCCTCTTGACACACTATTGATTTGCAGATACTTAATTGCTGTGATGGGCCTGGATTCAGATGATTTATTTCAATATTTTCCATTTCTGTTCCACAGGACATCCTTCTTAATGTTCCCAAACTGCAGCACATCATAATTGTGGATGACAAGCCAACAGCATGGGCTGATTATCCTCGTGGTATCATGGTCCACAACATGACAGCTGTAGAGGACCTAGGTTCAAAACCAGAAAACTGTAAATATAATTTCAAAATTCCTTATATATATTTATCATCTGCATGCCACATGTCATCTTGTAAAATAAATGAATGCAAAACATGAACAATTTCTAACCAACCTCTGTTGTACTCGTTCTACTACTACAACAATAACAACTTGCACTTATATAGCACCCTCCAAGCAGGGTAGCATCTCAGAGCATTTAACAGTGGCGGAGCCTGACTCCGAGCCGGGGGAGGTGGCTGTAAGCACGGTCGAAGAGGAAAGTTTTCCGGCGGGACATGAAAGAGTGAAGGGATTGAGGGAGAGTATTCCAGAGTTTGGGGGCGTAGTGGTTGAAAGAGTGACTTCCGATGCAGCGGCAGAGGCTGCGAGGGACGTGCAAGAGGCTGGGGTCAGTCGAGCAGAGGCGCCGGTTGGTGGATTGGGGAGTGAGGAGCTTAGAGAGGTAGAGAATTGCCAAGGTATAAATGGATTTGAACATGACTTTAAATTTAAATTCAAGCGCTCTGAGACGCTACCCTGAGTGAGGGGCACTTATATAATGCAAGTTGTTAGGTGGTTGTTAGTAGAAAAAAATTGAAACTTTCTGGATTGGATTTTATTTCACAATAAGGGGCAGAATCTGAGTGTAAGAAATTAAAGTGATAGAAATAGTTATGTTTTTACATAAACTCTGCTTTGCTCATCGTTGAGCATAGGTTTCATCAAAATATAACACTTACAACATGTTGCAACTTCAGAAAAGCACCCCATTTGCACCACTATATTATTTTTATTATTTTGGTTTCAAAGACAGGCCTCAAGGATAGCTAATAAGACTTGAAGTTTCCCACACCAACAATACTTATGACCTCTTTGAGTGACATTGTCTGACTTATGCAAACTCATAAATCTAAACCATTTTATTCTGGACTCACAGCGACAGGGAATTGATTTAGGTTCCCCAAATGTTTCAGGATTTGCTCTATTCTATCAGGAACAGAACATTTCTATCCTATTTGCCTCAACTGATTTTGAATTTTAGTCTCAGTGGTTCAAAGAGGATTGTATGGTAACCCACGTTATTGAGCCCACTGCTTTATATTACCAGTCAGCTGTTGAATCAATCATGAAAAGTAATAACTGTCAATTTCTGTCTTGTGTGAGAATCTTTTTACAGTAGAAAGAGTTGTTAGTTAAGTTGTTTTGACTGTGTGCCAAAGAACTGTTTGGCTCGCGTTTGTATAAGACACCAGTCATGACATACTGAAATTAGTTCAGAATACTAAGAAAAGTCAGTTTTGATATTGTATTTAGTTTCTTTGTATCTTATTGTATTCTCTGGTATTTAATATTCCATGATAAGAAATGAGTTAAATTATAATTTGTCAATTGCCTTCCTTGCTTTGTGATTCTTCCATTCAGTGCCTTGTTTTATTTTCCTGGTGAATCCATCTCTCCAAGCCTCCAGGGCATGTGAATAAAGAACTATTCCATTTAGTGGAGGCCAAGCACATCTGCAGCTAATTAAAAGCAATAGATGAATTGCATGGCTCTGTGCCCCTTAATCTGGCTGAAAGCCACATCTGCATAAAATAAGATGTGAAAGAAATAGCCTATACATTTTTGTATGACAGTCTTTGTGTGGAGTACTGTTCCGTGATACATTTGCAAAATGCTGGTTAAAAATATGTAAAATTCTAATATCTGTACCTTCTGCTCGTTGAGGTGGTTTTTGACTAAAACTGTCTTCATGGACGAAAGAACTTAATATAAGTTCTTTATAGATGTATGAATAATATATATATGTGTTCTTTGAAAGTTAGAGCTAAACCTTGTTGTTGGTGCAGAACTGAATAAAATCTGCCCTGTACTTTATCAGGTATTTATCAGAGTATTTGGTGGTGAAAATGATGAAAGTATGTTCAATTACCAGCACTGGTATCTCTTTTTGTTGATGAATACAAAAAATGAACCATTTCTTTTGTAAGGTCAATCTCTTGAATTTGTGATACATTACGTGCAATATATAATTTATCCTTTTAAATCTATTTTCAAATAGTACAACGTTTCTTCTCTCTCCATCAGTGCACAAACAATATACCAAACCTACAACTGAAGACATTGCAGTAATTATGTACACAAGTGGATCTACAGGAATACCAAAGGGAGTGATGATTTCACATGGCAACCTTATTGCTGGAATAGCAGGAATGTCGGCACGTGTTTCAGGCCTGGGGTAGGTGTGAGTTAATAAGTCATTGAAATTGATCTGCATTGCATTGGAGTTTCAGCTTAGACTGCGTGATTCCAAGCCCTGAAATGTTAAATAATGTTATGTGTCAATTGGTTTTCTAAGAACTATTTTTGCTGCTGTTCAGAGTATGCTAATTTGTTTTTTTTTAAATGTTTATAAAAGCCCAAAGGACACCTACGTTGGTTACCTGCCATTAGCACATGTTCTGGAACTAAGTGCTGAAACACTTTGCTTGGCCTGTGGCTGCCGTATTGGTTACTCCTCTCCTCAGACTTTAGCAGACCAGGTAACCAATTGTATTTCAAATGAGCAGAGCAGGTAAAATAATATAAACAATTGCATATTCTATTGTGTTGATATGTCTTTCCTGTCTTCTTCACTCACCCAACTGTTTTATACAATAATACAAATGTTCATTGAGACTTATTCCCTACAGTTTTTTATTTATTTTCACTTGAATAACCAAAGATGCAACATCGTCAGGTAATACTTATTTTGTTGTGTTGCAGTCTGCCAAAATCAAGAAAGGGAGCAAGGGTGATACAACAGTACTTCGACCTACATTATTAGCAGCTGTACCAGTAAGTATTTTGGTTGAATACTTCAGCTATACATAAATATGTGGTAAAGAAAGAGAGGATAAAGGCCTAGAAGACCCATCTAGTCCACTCCTAGAAGCTGGCGAAGACCGTGTAAATTGTGTGAATTTTTGCAGGAAAATGGGAAAAGAATAGCCAGAATATTCTCCTTGTGGTAACTCTTAAAATACTCTGAGCCATAATGTGTGATAACGTTTGAAAATATCTTTGATCAACTTCCATATGGTCATTATTTTAATTTTGTTTGCCAAAAGGAAATCATGGATCGAATTTACAAGAATATTGTGAACAAAGTAGAAGAGATGAACAGTATAAAACGGACCCTATTTGTTCTTGCGTATAACTACAAAATGGATGAGATATTCAGAGGCCGCAGTACTCCTCTCTGTGACTGGTAAGAAATAGTGGACAAAACAGCTGTAAAACTAACTACATTTAGCATAATCAATGTATGAAAATGTTTTTTATATAAATATGGTAATTGCTCAGTGATTGTTAATTTAGGCTGCTGTACCCATTGATCTCACAGCTTGAGGATTGGCCATGCTTTTCAAGTCAGGCAGGCAGGACATCTATTAACAATGCTTTGGATTTTAGCAGACCCACCTGGTAAAGGTTGTCATGTCTTAAGACCTCCAAACTCTTTAACAATCGAGGAGACCATTGAAACACTTTGTAAATGAGAGAAATAAATTATTTTGTTCAATATATTATATCTTTCAATGAGACATGTTGTAACAAATTTAAGCCATAAATATATGCATTTATCCAATGTTGAAATCCTGAACTAAAATGTGTATTTCCTATAATGTCTTGTCAAATTGCTTACTTGCTCCACCATGCCCCCTCACCTTTTTCAAGTCCCACCTGAAAACCTTCCTGCTTACAGTCACCTCCCCCCCCCCTCCCTGGGCTCGGAGTCAGGCTCCACCACTGTTAAGCGCTCTGAGACGCTGCCCTGCATGGAGGGTGCTATATAATGTAAGTTGTTGTTGTTGCTTCAGAAAGATCATTTTCTTTTACTTAGCTGTTCAGAAATTGATCATTTTTAACCTGAAGGTGACAAATCATTTGGAAGAGTGCTAAAATTCTTTTATTTTCTTTGTGAACAGGCTGATTTTTCGGAATGTGAGGTCGTTATTAGGAGGAAGAACACGGCTTATTCTATGTGGAGGTGCTCCTTTATCGCCGTCCACGCAGATTTTCATGAACATCTGCTTCTGCTGCCCTGTTGGACAAGGATATGGGTTAACAGAGACTTGTGGGGCAGGAACAATTAGTGATGGTTAGTAATTTCTTGGAAAGTCCATCTTATCCAGTTAGATGTGGAATGGACCTAAGGAATTCTTAAATATAAAAGTAAAACTAATTGAAAAATTATTTAGAACACATTCCTAAGTCTTTCCCAATTGTCAAAGAACCAAATACATTTGTCTCACACAAATTAATGTAAGACATTTTAAAATTTTCCCTAAAATGTGCCAAAAGCAAAACAAAGCTATCACTCAGAAACTAATATATTTGGCATAGTGTAATTAATACAGTAACTTGTCAACTGGCGTAAAGCATAATTGAAGAATATGACCATAAAATAATATCAATTATATTTTGTGTATTGTTTATCACAAAATAGCAAAAATACGTAATTGATCTATTGATATTATGTTTTGCTTTGAATGGAAGAATAGATTTCTTACAGATACTTTACAAAGAATATTTTACATATGGTAGACTCTTCTGACTATGTTTGCAGTCTGTTTAATAAACATTAACTGATATTAATTCCTTAGGAGGTTTAATTTTACAATTACATATCACTTTTTAATAACAATAGAAATAGAGAAGAGAAGGGGTAAATGTAAATGCACAAGGAAACTAAGAAGGGATTCAATTGATTTAACAATAAGATGCTGCTCATATTTATGTAAAGCTTGTGGGAACAGGATTGAGGTTGACTATGCAGTTTCTCTTAACCCACAGTCAAATACTCAGTCAAAACACAAAACAATAATAATGCATTTAGAAACGATCTCTGATAAAAGGAAAATAAGTAAAATGTGATCATGAGTAGAGGTGAGAAAATAGTGAGATAGCAGAATTTGATTATAGGCACAACTAAATTGAATATTAAGATTAATTTTAGCAGTGTGCATTGAAGCTGTATTTTTTTATATCAGCTGCCACATTTAGTTTAGACTTTAGAGGACAAAATGGGGATTGAGAACCAAGTTATTACTATATAAAAATCCTTGTGCTAAATAGGAGACTTGGTTACCTAGGCCAAACCAATTCAACTTTTGAGTGTACATGTATAATTATCTTATACATACTGTTGAGATCCAGACATTGCTTTTTAGAAAAAGGTGCTAGTTGAGTATTTGTTTGTTTTAGTGAATGATTACAGCACTGGTCGAGTTGGTGCTCCCCTGCCCTGCAGTGAGATTCAGCTGAAAAACTGGGAGGAAGGTGAGTAAAACTACTGTAACTTAATTAATACATCAACATTATACAGTATAATACTGATATAAAAGGGCTAATGCGTGAAATTGCTCTTGCTGCCATGTTTAAGGAAACTAATTGGAAAATCACAATTATAAGCATAATATTACTTGGTAGTGAGGGGAGTTTCTTCCCTTAGTTTGTCAAATCCAATTGTAGCGCAGTTAATATTGAAAGCCGCTGAAATTATTTTCAGTGATGACTAGATGCATGTTGCATCTGCGTACCTCCAGTCATCTGGAGGCACGATAACTTGTCATGCACATCACTCCATTAATGCTGCTCTATCACTGGCTAATATCAAATCAGATTTTGCTAACGTATTGGACAACTGAGATGAATTAAGATTGTCTTTCTCCTCTTCCCCCCCCCCCCCCCCCCACACACACACACAAATCACTGGAACCAATGATCACTTTGGAAGATTGGCAATCTTGTATTTAGAAAATGGTTCAATGAAGCTAGTTTGTGTGGCTTAAACTACTTATGAAAATGTTTGCAAAACATTGACATTAGAAATGCGTTAAATTTTGAAACTATGACTTGTACATAAATTTCAAGGTAATTTACATATGTGAAAGAATGTATAATAACTGTTTTTTGTTTGCTCCCCTCCCCCGTTTAAAAGGTGGATATACGGTTTATGACCGACCAAATCCTAGAGGAGAAATTATTATTGGCGGCCCAAATGTTTCCAAAGGATACTTTAAAAACGTGACCAAAACCCATGAAGATTACTTTGTGGATAAGGCTGGCCAGTGGTGGTTTTCCACTGGAGATATAGGAGAATTTTACCCAGATGGATGCCTTAAAGTGATTGGTTAGTGTCTAAAGACCTCATAGGTAATGGGTGAAAATGTGAATCTAAATGCTTATGCTGAGAATAAAATGGAGTTGTAGTGCCCAGTGGTTTTATATGCAAGTATGAATAAGGAAAGCTATTTGTTTTAAATTTTATATCCAAACTTAAAATATATTAAATGCGTTTATATGTAGGTTTGGTATCTTTACCGCATGTGTACTGGTGCCACTGATGGTTTGGCCTTTTGCCAATAGTCTTTGGAAAATGTACACTTTTCAGCAATTTGAACTTGCAATTTTTAAGTGGTAAAGAGTTAAGAGTTATGGGAAATCTCTGTGCTTCAGTTAAAGCATTACCATATGTTAACTTTTCTGAATTGCCCTTAGGAATTAGTCAAACTTTCCTTTTGTTCTGGGTCTATATTGCCAGACCATTTACAGAAGTCAGTAAACTTCTGGAAGCAGCTGTTTATTTTAACACAGAATCTCATACTGGACACATAGACACTTTTATTTATCTTCAAAAATAAATTTATGTGAAGGCAGTTACTCAGTTCTTCATTTCTCCATTTTTTTCATTGAAAAAACATTGTACTTTGTTGAGACTACATACAAATTAACATTGTCCAGTTACAATACTGACTTCAACAAATAGACTGATCTGTCTATTCATATTATGAGTTAGATGTGACATCGACTGATAAATCACTTGGACATATGAACTTTAGATACATTGGGTCAACCCATTTGGTTTGCTATTCCCATCCCAATATGGCATATCATATCTCTTCTGGATCAGTTATTTGTTGACTTTTCTAATGCACATACTTTCTAATAGTAATATTGTAGCAGAAGATTTACATAACGAAGAACTGAAAGTGCTGCTGGCACTTTCGGCTCAAAACACAATTCTCTCTGCTTCAGTATTCTTCATCAGTCCAAAAAGCATAGAAATAAAAAAAGATGTCTCCTGACTGTCTCTTATGGGCAGTAGTTCAAACACAGAATCAATCAACACTTTAGTGGAGCATGCACAAGGAACAGAGCTGGCGCTTCCTCTAGTACAATTTCTCCAAGACTTTCTGTGATCTCAGCAATTAGCAGGATAAGATTAATGAGATATCTGCCCTTGTTTGTTTCTGTGTGCTGGATGTTGATGTAGTGCCACCTAATGTGCAATGGCACTTTGTGCAGATTTATAAAGCAAGTGTAATCAGAATGCTCAGTGAGCATTTCTGTCACAAAAGAGTGCATGTCAGCTTTTATTTAACATACATTCTGTAATTCAGATATGTATGAGTATGCCAAATTGAATTCAGTGGCCAGAGTAATTACGGATATGTATATGCTTTTTAAAAATGTATACATTCTTTGTGTAAAAACTAAGACGAGCCAGAGAGGTATTTTCTTGACCTTTTACACGCCTTTGTACTTTGTAAGAAATCAAAAAAGATAATACAGTTTAAAACAAAGTTTTAAAACATTTTCATTGTAAAAGAGGTACATTTATTTTATCTTACATTAGAATTTTTCTTTGACAAATGTTGACCTTTCCAGGAGCATCTGTTTTCAAATTTAGGATTAATGTTCTGTATTGTGTTTTGCAGATCGTAAGAAAGATCTTGTGAAGCTACAGTATGGCGAGTACGTTGCCCTTGGAAAGATTGAATCTGCTTTGAAGAACAGCCCAATAATAGAAAATATTTGTGCATATGCAAACAGGTAAGGCTTAAGGAAATAATAATAATAATCCTTGGGTTTGATATAGCACCTTATCACATTGTTGAGACTTCTCCAAGCGCTTCACAGTATATACCGCAAAGTATAGTGACTATATTTTGTGGGCGAAATGCGGCAACCAATTGCGCACAGCAGTGTCCCACAAACAGTTGTGGATTGAGTGACCAAATTATTATTAATTTGAAGGTTATTTTTTGAGGGATTAAGAAGAATTGTATTTTATTTCAACAAATAGACCAGAATACAAAACAATCTGCTTCTGACATAGTAAAAAGAAACAGTTTATTGTATCAGCTAATGTATTAGATTTAGAAACTCATTTCCCTAATCTTTTGTTTATCTTTTTTGCAAATTTATGAAAAATATGTAAACAGTTTGCACACAATTATACATTGATCATAAATCTGGGTTAGTAATGTGAAATCTTGAATATTGTATACACTTTTGCATAAAATCAGTTCAAATGTGCTGTGACGTACAATGGAAATTTGTCCTCCCCCAACATGAATAACAGAAATTTAATTTTGTATTTGTTTTCAGTGATGAGTCTTATGTTATCTGTTTTGTCGTGCCCAATCAAAAGCACCTGATGGCTCTTGCAAAGGAGAAGAATATAAGTGGGACCTGGAGTGAGATTTGTAAAAACTCTGACATGGAGAGAGAAGTGCTGAATGAAATCATTGAGGTTGCTGGACAAGGTTAGCTTGAACAAGAAATTAATAAATCCATTGGCAAATCCAACAGCAGCAATTTATATTTTTATATCACTTTTCACATTGGAAGGGTGTGTCAAAGTGCTTCGCATAGCTGAGGCAAAGAGAACTGGGCAAGCTGTCAAAAAGATAGCAGTTTTAAGGATTGACTTTGAAAGCGGGAAGGGAGGGTGCAAGGCAGGATGTAGGTAAATCCAATTTTAATCCTAGTTATAATCACAGACAATCAGGTTGCAAAATGGTTAATATGACCATAGTCATTTACAACTATGGTTAAAGTACAATTGATTCTAATTTATAACATTTTAATGATACTGTCATTTTAATGATTTTAAGTGTGCTGTGAATTGGAGCCCACCATTTCTCACACAGATCTCGATCTTCACCAGTCTGTTAAGGAATTTGTGCTAAATATGTTACATGAAGGAGAGGGGCAAATATGAAAACAAATTGAAATAGTTAGAGAAGTGGCATGATTTGGAAAGATAATAGGAGCACGGGAAACAACATGAACAATAAAGGTAGAAGTTAGCAATTGGAGCAACAGAGTAAAAATAGCAAATGTGATTTACCACCAGCTCAAAATGAACAGGTATTTAAAGGAGTTTCAGAAATTCATCATGTAGTAAGCTAATGAAGAATCTGTAATATGCCAGATGTTATACTGACCCACTGCATTACACCTCATTCTTGGCAAGTGAGTTAAAAAAAATTGATACAAAGAGAAAAAATTATAAGGTCATCAATGTTGTAGAACACTAAGGAAAAATTAGGTGGAATCTGATTGAAAAATCTCCAGTACAAATATATATAGAAAAATGTATTCCAGCATAGAAAATGACAGGAGCCTTAGGAATTTCTGAACTTAAGCAGAATGATCTTCATCTTTGCTGTTAGAAATTAATTTATAAACAAAATTCAGGTGAGCTAATCCAACATGGATATCAAACCTGGGACATTTCTAGTCTCTGCATCTTAATTTGTAATCTGGACAGGAGCCAAATGATTATTGGGGAGCTTCAAGTGATAATCAAATTGGTGCAAATTTATATATTAAATATCTTGAAAACAATATTATGATCTTAATGTTTCTCATGTGTGACTTGCTAGAAGGCATTCTATTATGTTTCAGAAGATAACCAATCTCCCTATCCTTTAGCTACAAAATATTCAGATTTTGTAAAAAATTAATAAAAGTGTTTAATGTTAAATTCAAATATCTTAACTCTGAAATGGATTCAAACCTACCTGTGTACTTGAAATGCACAACAGTTTCTTTTCTGCTATTTTAATTGTTTTATCACTGTTTACTTGTATTTGTAGCAAAACTGGAGACGTTTGAAATTCCATTGAAAGTCCACCTGAGTCCAGAGCCTTGGACTCCAGAGATGGGCCTGGTCACTGATGCCTTCAAATTGAAACGCAAAGAGCTGAAGAATTATTATGAAGCAGACATTGAGCGAATGTATGGAGGAAAATAATTCTGTTGTTCCAACCCACCCCTTCAAATAGGAATGAACTTAAAACCATAATTACAACTCTGAAACTAAATGCCACACAACAACTTTCCTCAAATCTAGTACCATAGGACTGATTAACCCTAGAGTAAAGCATCACAATGTAAAATGAAGTTGTCCTGTACCAGAAACCAAATTTCCTTTGATTTAGGTATTAATGTTTTATCTAGGGCAGGATTACTAAACCATTTGAAACAAAAGTAACCGGTTTATCTTTGTGTTTATTTATAATCTGTTAAAATATTCAATCAGTAAACCGACCAGGGGAACAAATTTCACACATTGTATATAACTACACGATGTCATGAGCCACTAGTACAGCGCTGTCCTCACATGACTTGTGGAAATGGTATGGTTTTATTTATTATAAATTTGTGCAATGTTTAAATTTGGTATGTTTTGAGGATGTTGCAGGTCTTGATCAATTGAAGGGTTTTCAGGAATTTCTAATGAAATTCATTGACACTGAGGGTTTTCCACAAATGTTTGTATATCAACTACACCTAAACCTGTTTTTATCTGTTTTGTGCATAGTGTATCTTCTGTTTGTAGACTGATGTAAAAGTGACTTTTGTCTAAATGAAGAAATAAGCAGAAACTGCTCTGTATGTAAGTAAGGCTGCTTCGAGAAATTTTTGAATAGGCTATGACATTTTTGCATCTTAGTTTGTCTGAACTTAAAACATGATGACGTGTATTGTGTAGACATTCACAGTCAGTTGAGGACGTTTAGAATCCGTGTTACACAAACAATGTCAGAACCCAGGTAACAGTATGATTCTTACTGTCAATGATTTGCAAAGGAATGTATGCGCTGTGCATAAAGTTGAGGTTCCACCCCATGGTTGGAAAATAACTAAACTTGTTTCCTGTAGAAATAGGAAATGAAGGTATCTGCATCTGGGGGAAAGAAAATAGCATCTCTTTCACCTTTATTTTATCAAATCCAAGTATTTTTATTATTAAAATGTCCATATGCTTAGCACAGAAGTTATGATTTGGGCTTCACCCTCTGATCTTTGGGGAATACTTATTTTATGAGGTGGCACAAATCAATAGGGTTAAGAGTGGAATTTAAGAGGGATACTTCCATAAACTAGCATGACTGAAATTAAATTGCACTCCAAAGGAAAACACAGGTCAAACAATGAAGGGTAGACTCCCTCACCCCCATGAATTTACCTTATTTACCTTGTCTCCCACCTATATGTGGGGAATTATTTGTACAACTGGAGCAATACAGCTAGGAAAATACAAGATGTGTATACATTAATAAAATATCTGGAATGCGCTGTACCTTTTGTCCTCCAAAATAAACTGCCACGTGCTTTTAGGAACCCAAGTTTGTACTGATGATAAATGTACGAATACATCAAAAATGTTTGCGGTTTACAAAGATGCAATAGACAACTACTTTTATAGTGAGAGTCACGTTTCTTAAAAAAAATTAAAAAGTATAAATTCAGATTTTCAGCGGCTTGCCCATGGTTGTCCTCTTGTGCGCCGATATGGTGAACTATGTTATTCAGCTAATTCTCGACTACTAACATTCAGTTATAACTTTCCAAGTGACTGGTATGTTTGTACTAAATATGCTAGTCATAATTATTGTCATATTAAAAAAAATTGGCATGCGTACAAATGATTTATGAAAATTACTTGTGAATGTTGGGAAGTAGAACTCAATCATGTTCTTTCCGATGCCAGGGGAAGTGGAAGGATGTGATTAAACCTCAACGTTTCAAAAGTTAGTCTTAACGCATTCAGTGGCCAACATAGCAGTAAGCTAGTTTATTTTTAGGATATGATTCTGTGGGGGAATGCATTTGAACTTGTTGGGGGAAGATGAAAATGTTTCATGTGAAATAATTTGAGCATTAATTGTATTTTGTGCATGGCTTCAAAATGTCATCTGTTGGGGAGATACAAGGTGAGAGTTAAATGTACAATTGAGAAAAATGTGCATTGCAGCTAAGGTTGCAGAAGACCTGCTTGCTAGTGAAAATTTGTTCTACTTCTATGTATTTTGACTACTGGTTATTTTAAGGAATTCTGGTGTTGACGTCTACATTAAATTGTATTCCCATTTAATGGTCCATTTCTATTTGTAAATACCTCTAGGATATTGTAAATTCGGTGAAAGTTGCTTTTGAATAGTCAGCTGTACAGTTAGTTACCTTAATTCATTATTTTACTATAATGAATTTCAAGGCAAAATCTTGGAATTGTATTTTAGAGCAAGATCATTCTTAAGACTACTGTATAAACCACAATTACAAATATGTTCATTATTTATTTGTATTTGGATTTGTTTCCTATTACAGAATAAAACTGTAATTTGTGGTTTGCATCTCTTGTTTTCAGGTACCCCTGTTTCAGTGAAATTTTAAAAACTTAACTTTACAATTGTCTACTTTGGCCTCCGAATGCATGGATCTAGAAAATATACATTCAATAACACACTATCAACACTCTTTCTATATTTGTCATATTTCAAAATTTACTGTGGAACATTAAAATCAAATCTCATAATTTAGTCCTACACAAATTTGTCTGCACGTGTGTACAAATACATAGAATAACAATAATAGTAATTTGCCGTTTGTTAAACATGACCTCTGTCATGCTAAAACACTGAAATTATCTCCGTTTGATGGCTGACTGTCGATTTCGTTACTTTTCCAACAATGCAAACACGTTTTCGATGGGAATTGCCACAATTATAATCCATACGTACGTTTTCATGAGTATAGTGTGCAAGAACACATTTTGGCGGGCATGTTAAATCAACAATAAGATGACCAGTCTCAGCATTACTTTTCACTGTTTCATCAAGTTTGATGGAAATTGTTTCCAATTCTCCCAGCCCCTGAAGGGCAGTGCCAACACAGGAATAAGCAGAGCGAATGACGTGGTCAGAATGTAATTGAATAAAGCTGAACACGTCAGCAAGAAAGGAGACTGGTTATTTCCAGGAAGAAAACATTCTTTTCACAACCTTCAATCCCTAAACTAGGAATTGAGATTGGGAATTCGACAATTTACAACCATCGTCGAGTGAGTGCGATAAGAATCTGCTTTAGCATCCATTCAATCACTTTAGCTGTATCTTTAAAGAGGAAAATGTCTGCTGGTTTGTTTTGCCCCATGGATCCTTAAGATAGCGTCACTTCCACCCAGATAATAATAATAATAATGATGATGATCCTTGCATTTGATATAGTGCCTTCTCATGTCTTCGAGATGCCTCAAAGCGCTTCACAGAATATGCATTTGTTTTGTTACTGGCATTTCAATTTGTCACACTTGAAAATGACAAAATTCAACTGCATTATCCTAACACTTATAACAAAAGATAGAATTTAAATACACAAATAATCGTATAATGGATAATTGAACCATTTACAATGTAGTTTTTTCCCTGCTTAAGAACGAGATTAAGAATCGGGGTCGACAGCATTAGAATCACATTGGAACTGCTTGGACATTAGCAAGAAAACCGAAAGGGCGTGTTGTATGGGGTGATTAGAGCGCGAGACTAACACAGAATATATTGGCTATGCCAGGACTGATGGGATGATATTCCAATGTTTCACCAGTAAAATATTTATGCTGGCAGCATTCCAAAGTTAAATATCCCAAGGGAATGTTTCAGCCTGCTTTATACAAATATAAAGTGAAGGTATGAGTTAGACACAAATACACAATGATTACTAGTATCTCTTGTTATTATAGAAAGTTTAACAATTGAATTAAAATTAGTTTTCTATGCATCTCATGATAAACATCCTATAATTGATTTAGAAAGTAAAAGTTTCAAAATTGCGACCAGGGTTTGATTCCTGGGGCAGGGCGAAATGTTGAGCAACTTTCCTTACTCCACAATCCTCTGTTTACCCAGCAGTAAGTAGGAACCCGGTTGTAAGTCGATTGGCGGATCGCTTTTACAGGGGTAATAATTACTTAAAAACAAAATAATCTGAAGAATAAATTGGTCACGACTGTGACGCTGCTGTGCGCAATTGGCTGCAAGGATTAATAGTATAAAATTGATGTATAAATCTTGCATGTCTTTCAATTCAGCCGCAATTATTATTAAGGTAATATTGTTTTAATAATAATCCTTGCATTTGATATAGCGCCTTATCATGTCTTCGAGACGTCTCAAAGCGCTTCACAGAATATACTGTAAAGTGAATTGACTGTATATTTTGTGATTATTATGCTGATTCAGGGATCTCTTCATTATTGCTTTGATGGTGAGGAACATTAATTGCTTGTCATTTAACTAGTCACGAACACTGAAACAGTTAATCCCAGTGAAAGAGTTCCAACAGTACGTGACTACAGTATTAGTTTAGGAACTCCCCCACCCTTCATCTTAACAAAAGTGTCCTACATGTCTACTTTATGTCAATAAAAATGAGTTCTTCAGCGTTTTTGGCACTGATGTGTTCCTCGAGCACAATTTATTCCGCTAGATAAGCCCATGATATACAAATACATGTGACCTTTCAGTAATGACATTTTTAATCTTTTGAATATCACCAAAAACGTATTTCCTTGCAGCTTTGCAGACTTTTCAAAACGCATTGTTGACTGGAAACCTTTCAGGAAGATGAGAATAAAATTATTTTGCAATTGTAAACCTTTTTTGGGTGGGGTGGGGGGTGGGGGGGCAGAAAAGCATGGTAGTGACAGTAATGCTGTATGAAGTATTAATTCTGAAGGCTGAAGAGTTCTGGTAATACAGTATTTGAACCCTGAACAAGCAGTGTGAGACGTGCTGGTTTCGACACAAAAGTTAAAGGAACATTTGCCTTGTTGCACAATGTAGAACGCCAGAACTAACGGTGCAGATGATGTAGACTTCAGCTGGATGTCTGGCATTATTTCCACTGGCATTGAGCCCAAGGACCCTACAAATGGGGGTGTTAAAGGCTTTCCCGAAGCATCATATTCTATTATTAATATTACTATTTGACCTATTGGATATATCAGAAGAAAAGTAAATCTTTTTTATGAGCAATTTCCGTGTTGTCAGTGACATGCATACTTGGCTTCTGTGTTTTACCTTCGAATTCTATACACATACAGTGGACAAAGCTTAACATTAGTTAACCACTGGGGTTTGTTGTGCTATTTCCCTTTGTAGTTTGAATTGTAAGAGAAGAAGCATTCATTCCACATCGAAATGTCACCAAATGTAAAAGCTTCTGCCGCTGGCTGGCTCACTGCGTTTTTGACAAGAGGCCGTTATTGACTGAACCGCTATTGTAAAACAGATCCACAAGCGTTAAGTAAGTTTCAAAGACAACTCCCCTCTTTCAGCCCCTGATGGTACACTCCAGCATTTATTTAAAGCTCTGGAAGTACAACTGCTGAGACAGATCACAGAGAATTGACAAGTACTCAAGACCTCCTATGCATCCTTAAGTAACTGCATCGCTTGCATTTAAAAGACACTTTGGACACGCATTTTTAAAACCACTGGTAAGTAAAAAATTTAAATGATTTTCTTTGCAAGTCATTAATTCTGCCCCATTGCAGGGTTTCATTCTAAGTACCTTTTCCAAGTTTGAACAACCAGTGTGTGGCCTTATTATTTTCAGGCATAATCCAATTCTTAATATAAAACGTAAATATAGACTCCAGCAAACCTTTATGATAAACCTAGTGATAGATTTTTAGAATCAAGTGAAATTTAAGATGTATTTATTTATTAATTATCTGGACATGTAACTCATGCTTGTTTGTTCTCTTTGATGTGTTAGGTTGTGTGTGTCAGGTTAATTCACTGACTGTACCAAAGCGACAACAGCTTAAGAACTCAAAGATGGATAATTCGAATGAGACCAACATTGCTAAAATATCAACCGAAACAGCACAGAGTGCAGACAGCCCAGGAAATAATGAGTATCTGTACATATTAATTGTCATGTGCTTCTACGGAATATTCCTCCTGGGAATAGTGGTGGGTTACATAAGATCAAAGCGACATGAACGGAAAGGCGACTTGATGTTGTTGTATGATGACAGGGGAGAATGGGCTGGTCTGAAATCACTGCAGATGCCATTGGTGTTCAGCGCTTTACCTGAGAGCATGGTGCCAGCCCTGTCCTGTGCTGTGTGTTCCATTGAGAGCAGCATCAGCTCCGAGGCAGCCCAGGACATTTATCTCACCATCGAAGAGGAGGAGGCAGAAGGATCTACAAACTTGATTAACGAGAACGCAGAGCAGCCGAACGAAAGCCACCACTGAAACCGTGATCCAGAATACTTTTCCAATCATTGTTATATTTAATGGGAATTTTATCATTCCGAAAGCAAGGAGCAATTAAAAGTACAGTATCAATCTGGCTGAGTTGGTCAGAACCAAATTGACTGTTGACTTTCCAAATACAGTAATTCGAGATATTGAATTGAGTTCAGATTCAAGAGCAAATAACACAGAGTTCTTCAATCAATTTATCAGCAAAATATACAAGTTTTAGAAAGCATCTCTGCAGTTGCATTTTAGTTGATATAGATAATATGCAGATAATATTTCTAGTAAGTGGTAAATTCTCACATTAAATTTAATGCATCAAAGTAACCCAACCATAAAGATACAGGCACTTTAATAACCCGATGAAATGTTTAGATTTGGAAATACCTAGAACCTTTTATTTCAAATAATCTATCTGCAAAATATTATTTTAATTCCAAAATAGAAAAGTAAGTGCTTTGCTGTGATTTTACACCTGTACAATATGTATAAACTAGACCAATAGCATATTCCACTCAAGGGTTAATTTCCAAAGGCTGACATTTGGTCAAGTACAGTTTGAAACAGCCAAAGAAATGTTATTGGCAACTAGCCTGGATTCACTTGAAAACTGTAAATCCTTCCAGATGAAACTGACGTAGAACTTTGTCAAAATTTCCATATGTGCATCTAATAATTGTAAATAAGCTTGTAAAATAATGTAAATAGGTTAAGCTGTAAAACAATTGTAAATATTTATTGGTGTATTTTATTAAAGCCATTGAATTCAACGATGTGAGAGTCAATTTTTCAAAACAAAAGTATTAAAATGTGATTAATACAGTGACTGAATTGTCGGGCCTCCTTTCATGTCTCAGTGAGATTTATGTGACTCACATGTCATGTGGTTACACAATGAAGGTCACAGGTTTGATTCCACAGGACAGCATTTTAGGGCATGAGAAATGGTCGTGATGTTCCCAGGATATGTAAGGGAAAGTCAGGCAGAACTTGATTTGAAAATGTTTGTCCAGCAAAACAAAATAAATGAAAAAGTACACAAATTTTGTGAAATGTTGCAAACCCTTTAACATTTGTTTG